TAAACTTGTTGCATATTTGTAGAGTGCCCTTCAAAATGATGTATCCCTGGCATAGTCATATATTCATTCATAAACTTGTCACATATTTGTAAGATGTACTTCAGAATGACATATCTCTGGCATAGTCATATATTCCTTCACAAACTTGTTGCATAATTGTAAGATGTAACTCAGCATGACATACCTCTAGCATAGTCATATATTCATTCATAAACTTGTTGCATATTTGTAAGGTGCCCTTCAAAATGATGTATCCTTGGCAAAGTTATATATTTATTTCATAAACTTGTTGCATATTTGTGAGATGTACCTCAGAATGACATATCCCTGGCATAATCATATCTTCCTTCACAAACTTGTTGCATAATTGTAAGATGTAACTCAGCATGACATATCTCTAGCATAGTCATATATTCCTTCATAAACTTGTTGTATATTTATAAGGTGCCCTTCAAAATGATGTATCCTTGGCAGAGTTATATATTTTTTCACAAACTTGTTGGCCACTTGTAAGATGTGTATCATAATTACATGTTCTTGGCATAGTCATATATTCCTTCATAAACTTGTTGTATATTTGTAAGGTGCCCTTCAAAATGATATATCCTTGGCAGAGTTATATATTCTTTTCAAAAACTTGTTGGATACTTGTGAGGTGGACCTCAGCATGACATTTCTCTGGCATAGTCATATATTCCTTCATAAACTTGTTGCATACTTGTAAGATGTGCATCAAAATTACATGTTCTTGGCATAGTCATATATTTGGTCATAAGCTTGTTGTGTACCTATAAGGTGCCCTTCAAAGTGATGTGTCCTTGGCATAGTTATATATTTTTTCATGAACTTGTTGCATAATTATAAGATGTGCGACAAAATGACATGTCTTTGACATAGTCATATGATCTTTCATCAACTTGTTGTGCAAAGATAATTCTAAATCTGGATGTATCATGATGGGTTTTACTTGTAAAATGTGCATCAAAATTACATGTTCTTGGCATAGTCATATATTTGGTCATAAGCTTGTTGTGTACCTACAAGGTGCCCTTCAAAGTGATGTGTCCTTGGCATAGTTATATATTTTTTCATGAACTTGTTGCATAATTATAAGATGTGCGACAAAATGACATGTCTTTGACATAGTCATATGATCTTTCATCAACTTGTTGTGCAAAGATAATAATGTATAATTCTAAATCTGGATGTATCATGATGGGTTTTATTTGTCAGCTCTACCTGGTCATATCAATTCCGAGTTGATTTCCTGATGTGGGACGTAAAATGATGGCACATAACAATGCAGCCCATGAGCGCTGGAAGCAATATCATGGCAGTTAGACTCCAAATCCTGGACATAATATCCCCACATATTCAAGGTGATGATGAAATATTGGTGCATCACCAAAATACCTCCCACTGAGTCTGGAAAATCAATCTTTCATTGTCTAGCTTTTTACTATGCCGGAGATTGCATAGTTCAACTTGGTAAAAAAATATGTTCATCTAAAGTATCTAGCTATCCTGAGTCAAACTATTCCTCTTCATCCTTCATTGCCACATTGGCCAATAACCATTGTGAAGCCGCTATGGCATCATGTAGGTCATCCACTGGACCCTCAAAGTGGGCCATGTCGTCCAACGCCGCCCTACCATCTTTGATCTTTTGTTGGAGCCATTGCTCAAGCACGATCCCGAATGCTTGAATGTCATCCTGGACGGTCCGCAGGTTATTCAACAGAGGGTTGGGACCGCTTCATTGACTGCACATATCTGGCAGCAACATATTCCCTGCCTGTTGCAATGAGAGATAACCAGAAGAACAATGAGAATCAATGACTTACAGTCTGCCTAGCATGGGCCTGAGAGAGCTCAATCACTTCATCCAATGTGATCCGGTCCGGCATCTCGAATCCAAGGACATTGAATCAGTCCTTCCACCAACCATAGTTGGATACATGCACACCTCGGTAAGGGCTCATGAGGTCACTAGATATGTCAGATCCATGGGCAGCAAATTTGTCAAAGAGATTGTTGTCGTCCGACAACCCCAACTGCCAGCCCATGATCATCTTCACGATCTCATTGAGATATTCTGGCAATGCTGGGGCTGTGTTGCTGGTCGCACATAGTTGAATGAAAGGAAAAACAAATCTCTGCATATGGTGTGAGTCAGCCGATGACAAGACATTCAATTAAGGATATGTAAGAACTCACCTCAGCCTCCCAAACGAGATGCCGAATGAACAGCTTTGGAAAACCCGGTGTTCTAGGCACTTTTTTGGTGTCGAGAGACGACCAGATTGTGGTGAACCGAGATGTCGCATAATCGAAGATATTTGTGACATCCCATAGTGAGACAGCGACTTGAACAGAATTTTGGGTATATACAAAGCCATTTGACATAATGAAATTTGATATTGACAGCGCATTGGTGAGGTTTGACAAATGGAAGATCACACAGTATAAATAGTTGGAAGTTGAAACTTTGATAAGACCATCAGTGGTCAGATGGTGGAATGCAGCCCATGGGGTAAACAATGTCTCACCAGTCAAATCTGTGTCACTGGACTCCCGGTCATCTGCCATCTCGTCGAGAAATCTGGTGTCCATGTCAGAGATGACATTGTTTGCATCAAATTCCTCGCCGAGGTACCTGGCTGTGGAGGCCATGAATTCATCAATGGAATGTTGGAGTTTAATCCTCCAATGAGCTATCTCCAGGGTTTGAGTCTCTGTTGGATGTCTCCCCATCCTCCTGATATCCATTGCCAGAGCAATTTGCATCTCTTCAATACTTATTCCAGAAGCAAGCCAGGTGGCAACTCCCATTTGAGGCCGTTCTCCTAGCTGACGGAAAGAGGTCCAAAGGAGGTCCAGTTCAATTGTCTTCCAGGATCTTGCTGTTTTGACATTGGCCATCAGTACATCATAGATTCTATTTTCGACAGCTGGGACACACCCTTCTTCAACTGGACATTGTAAATGTCCATGGCTGACAGATCCTGTATTTGAGAGGCTTGCGCGGTGCTCTCTTGAACCAGCCACTCCTGTATTAGATCTGGATCGGCCAAGTCATTCAATTCTTTGAATGCATTGCTGCTTTCGGCAACCCCGCGCTTTGCCTCCTTGTACTTCCGGGACAAGGACATGCCTGTCATAATGAGGTCCTGATAGACTGGGAGCAAATCAAAAGACAAACCCATTCGGATCATCTTCATGAAGTTGCAGTCATTCATCTAATAGTCGAGGCATTCTTGCCGGTGTGGAGTAGACATTCCCTGAGCAGCCAAGAGATGATGTTAAGGGTGGCCCACAGGGTCTCCATGATCTTGCCATCAATTCTGCTGGCCCCTGGAATAAAGTTTGATGCATACCGGACAAAGCATTTGTCTTGATGTCCGTGAACATGCCACAGTCCTATCCCTGGGGTTATCGCCATTCCAGAAGGGATGGACAGATGTGTGCTGTTCTCTACCTGTGCAATTAAATGCTGTCATACTGACAGTTCACATTGTAAAATGTTAATGCTCGGCCGATTCCATCGGTATTATGGGTGAGGGCATTGCATAAAGTGTAGTCCATGTTCGTCTGTCTACTCCCAGACAATGATATGTGGATTGATATGTTCGGAATTGCCTACCTCTCCCCTTTTTGGAAATTCACCATTGAATTGGGCACAAAGCACCCATAGCGAGTGCATGCGCACCCACTGATTCTGGTAGCTTCTAATTTGTGCCAAGATGTGTTTCCCTGGTTTACCGCCCTATGGTTGTTGCATTCCGACCGCTGAGTCAAATCTTCAGTGATTGCCAGATGGGCCTGGTATCTGGCTCTCACCATCATGAAGCCTTTTCCATTGGTCAATCAGACCTCATCTTCTGGGTTGATTGGGTGCAGATGCTCGGCTTTAAAATTTCCATCCATCACCAGGGAACGGGAGTATAGCCACTGCATTGTAGTGTCTTCATTAGGCAAAGTCATGTTTATCCCTGGCTGTGGACATGCTGGGCAGAACAAAGCCAGCTCGCCATCATTCGGGTCCCTCTGCTCGTGGCCGAATCTGTTCCACTTCAATAGCTTCAACTGGTGCCACTGCCTGGCTACTCTGAGTAACTCCCTATATCAGTCCTACTGACACTTTTTGTTAGTTGATAAATGACGGGACGGAACAGACTTTACTGGCACTAAATGAGGGAACATGCTGGATGTGATTCGCCTGAGTTTGCCATAATAGTTCATACTGGAAGTGCCACATTCCAGGTTGGCCTGAATAAAATCGTCCAGCAATGTAAAAGTGAAGGCCATCTTTGGGCGGGTGAACGATGCCAGAAATAGGCCCATTTCAAACAACTGCTTGTCCGCTGTGAGTGCATCAGAGCATTGGCAAAAATGAATTGACATGATGTGGATTCCCGAGGTGTCGACAACTGTCATCCGACATATGCCCGGCATGGCTATGTTTGCTTCTGGGGGTTCCAGCCAGACAGTCAGACATCCAGACTCGATGAACACATCTTCTAAATCATTGCCCATGTCTGGGACCCTAATGTGGAATGCCCAGAAATCTTTATTTCTTTTGATATGTCCCTCCTCCGTCATTCCCGGGGTTCTGAAGACTGAGGGTGCAGTAGATCCTTCCCTGTCATTGGTGTCTTCCCATTCACAACAGTGGTGGGGACATTTTTGTCCTCTGTGGCCCAGGTAAATTTCTACCCCTAACTTGGTGAGAGTTGTCTCCTCAAAGAAATCGCTGTTCCATTGACGTATTCAGTGGAAAGGCAGCAAGGAATGCTGAGACTGGCAGCACCTTGTGCAGAATATGGGCTCAGCTAGACAGTCCTGGCACTTTTGTGTTCCATCTCCATCACACAAGCAGCACACCCGGTTCAGAGGTGGTGCCTCATGTTCTAGCAGGATGTTCAGATAATCCTGTGTCAAAAGTCCACTGCTGAAGATATTCATTTGGAGTCTACTGTTTCCAAATCGGATGAGCCTGATATCAATGAAAATTGGTACATTTTGACTTTCCAAGGTTTTTCTCATCTTTTTCCTTGAGCCTTTTGGAAGTCAGATGGGATTGATGCTCTCTTGGTCATCATATCCTCCATGGAAGTCTTCGGAGAATCTGTACATCAATCCATCCGAAAATTGTTTGGTGGGTGACTTGGTGGGTGATGACTGCACTGATTTGCTTGACTTGGTACGCTCTGCTGTCACCCATCGTCCTTTGATACCTTGAGTGGTTCTTTTTCTACTCCATTTCACCACATGTACGGTTCCGGGAGGTGTAACTTCCTTTGCCTTTGATTTCCCCATGTTGAGATCTGTTAAGATGATGATGTGATGGTCTATATGTGATCTACAATTTCATTATCCCTATTACGGACTTTCCCTAATTGGCTCCTGTTTGATTTGTGTGTCCCATGCATGCTAATTATCTCAACCATAAACTGGGCAACCTTGCTGAAATTAAACTTCTGTGAACCTTCTTGCACTTCTGTCGTATTCATATTCCCACATATTTCATCAATGACAGGGAGCAACTCAGAGTCAGATGAAGAGCCTCAGAAGCAGGTGCCATTAAAGAAAGAAGAGGTGACTATTCTGGAATCTTATTTGGAGCAATGGGACTCCGGTTCAGGTCAAGAGAGAAATGTGATCTGGAAGGATGCCACAACTGAAGCTCAGCTGAAGGTGCCCAAGATGGATAAAAATCTCTTGAGATCCTGAAAGACGGTGAGCTTGTTGTGTCATGAACTGTAGATAATCATTGACATCATTGACATCCAGATCTACAGAAAATGACTGCAGAATCATGGAGAAAAGAAGAAGGATGCTAAAGCTCCTATCAATCTTGGGAGGAAGTGGATGTACCGTACAGTGGTGGGAGCTCTCTGGAAGAAGGAGCTTCTGAAGAAGATTCAAGATGACACCAGAGTAAATCCCAGAAAACTGGAGATGATGCACCACTACTCGAGGTATCTTACTGACATGGTGAATTCTCTTACTGAGGAGATAGAAGATGCTACGGATATGGCCGGACAGTGGAATATGCAAGGAGTCCCTCCGGATATTCAGGCAGACACTGCAAGGCGGAAGAGCAAGGACTTGCTCGTTCAAGAAAGCCAGGATGTGCCTGTTCATCCTCTCGGCTTGGAAGAGCGAGGATGACAAACTCATGGTTTCAAGGTGAGTGAAATACATCACTTACAGGAGACAATCCCGAGTCATACAAACACAGCCACGATTACAACGAGGAGATTGGAAATGGGGAAAGTTTTGAGAGGACGCATGATTGGAAGGACATCTTGCCAGAATGAAAGTCATATGTGTCGAAACAGTTCGGTGAGCATCAGCATACTCGTCCGAAGCCAGCCAACCTCACCTGGTTTGGGTACGGAAGATAACAAAGTCAAATCCGATGCCATCATTAAAAAGGGCTGGAAGGACAAGACATACATATTACATATAGGAGATGATGCACTTCCGGTCCTGCCAGATTATACCAAACTGGATTTGGAGACCTGCAAAGCAGTTGTCTGAACTTTCTTGAATTGGCATTACCATGAGTGGAGTCCATCTGAGCCATTGGTTAGTCTAATTGTGACTATAGAGGACTGTAGTAAGAACCCAAAGGAACCGGTGCCATGGAAGGAAGTGATACTGAGGCAAGATGAGCTCATCCCCCCTCCATATCTACCAGAGGGGAAGAAACTCCGGGAGCCATCCAGGATGACATGGCATGAGGAAACCGAGCTCTTGCAGTTCTGGTACAACTGACAGGAAAACTGCCGGGATGTCATATTCAAGTTCCACAGGTGGTGGAGCAAAGTCAAGAAGGAAGTCAGACCCCCCGTGATATGGAACTGCAAAGGGGAAGTTGACACCGAAATGACCGAACTGGAAGCAGTGGGCACACAAGTGAAAAGCAGGGCTCAGAGGACATCTCAGAAAACGTCAACCAAACAGGCAACTGTTCATTTGGATGGCTCCGAAGACACAGATAACCAAATGCAGGAGGAAAAAATCAATGCTGACAAGCGGCTAGTGGGACGGACCAGGCTGAGAAGAAAAGTCCAGGTATCAATGGCCATACCGGAATCAGATCATGCCGAAGAGACATATTCTGATGCAATCCAGATGCCTAGGAAACATGAAGCCCGGATCAATAAGCTAGGAAGGACATCTGGCAAGGGAGTTGCACACCTACCACCAAACAATATACCAGCAGAAGACTCTGAACAGGGTGCAGATGATAAACATGAGGAAACATGCCAGATACAGCAACCACAACCTCATCAAGAAGTCGCCATTTGGAGCAAAACCAAGCCTACACCAGCCAAGCAGTCGGATCCAGAGCCATCTGCCTTTCGATACCTGGAACCTCCTGTCGATAATCCCAGGAGGGTGGGACTGGCATCGCATCCCACTGGTCAGTTAAGGACCACACAGAGTGGACGTTCAAATGCAGCCAAGAAACCTGTCACAAAGAAGTATGTGCAGAATAAGAGCAGTAAGATTGCACCTAGAGGAAAGAAATGTCCTGCAGAGGATCAATTGCAGGACTCTCCAGCCAAATGGACAAGGAGTCAAACAGTCAATATACCCACAAAGAGATTGAAGAAACCAAACTCCCGATATGCAACCAACTTTGTTAGGGGTTAAGAGTTTGGGAATCTGGTGCATGTTTTCACAGCCCATATTTCATATTTTGTACAATAGTATATAATAACTATGTGAACTGACCAACTACTGGATAGATTCTACTATACATTTTCTAATGACTCAATCACTCGGTCGACTGATTTGAATGCACGGCGTTGAAGTTGAATGAGCTGGTGCAGCCTGCAAATATCTAACCCGATTGTTGTGACCTGGTCCCAGGTGCCAGCGTAACCTCCAAGTATACTCCTATTGTTGATCAGAATATCGGCCAGTAAGCAGGATGCAGTCACGCTATGTGTAGCATTCTCTACGAGAAAATTTGGGGAGATCAATAAAATTTGATTGACAATCGAGTTGATTGACAAACACATTGACTTACCCATGTTTAAAATATATTTTGTTCTACATACCAAGTTCCGAGTTCTGGACCCCCAAACCCCGAGACTGCCGGGTCTCAGGTTTCGGGGTTCGGGGGTCCGGAACTCGGAACTCGGTATGTAGAACAAAATATATTTTAAACATGGGTAAGTCAATGTGTTTGTCAATAAACTTGATTGTAAATCAAATTTTATTGATCTCCCCAAATTTCCACAAGTTCCGAGTTCCGGACCCCTGAAACCCAAGACTGCCAGGTCTCAGGTTTGGGGGTTTGGGGGTCTGGAACTCAGAACTCAGAACTCGGTATGTGTAAACAAAATATATTTCAAACATGGGTAAGTCAACGTGTTTGTCAATCAACTGGATTGTAAATCAAATTTTATTGATCTCCCCAAATTTCCCCAAGTTCCGAGTTCTGGGACCCCCAAACCCCCAAACCCGAGACCCGGCAGTCTCGGGGTTCAGGGTTTGGGGGTTGATACATCTCGGTTTGAGGATTGGGGGTTAGTAAAATGTTTACAGATATACGTAGGTTGATTTAAACATTGTCTGAGAGATGTCATTCGTCTCAAATGTCAAATCCTGAGTTCCGAATTTCGGGACTCGGCACCCGGCACCCGGGACTCGGGGTTTGGCACTGATAATTTGAAAATTCGGGTGTTCAGGTTTCGGGTGATATCTACCTCAATCTACAGTTTCGAGTTCTGGATATCAGGGCTGATCATTGAATCATTCAATTGTGGCATAGGTAACATGCATTGAAAAAGATTTATGTACATCTATCACTGAGCAATTATGTAGCCATTTCAACCTCCTCACCAGGAAGATCAACCTTTCCCTCAACATCCATCTCCTCATCAGAAGAAGCATATTCTGGCAGGAGGTTACCTGGTTCATTAGGGACCACAATATCGCCAGAGGATTCTGGCAAGAGGTTGCCTGGTTCATCCTGGAGCACAATTTCGCCGGAGGATTGTGGACCCTCAGGCTGAACTTGGGTAGGCTCAACCATGGGACCTACCATAGCAGATCCATGCTCAGGCGTCAAGGGTGTGGGTTCCGTCACTGAAATGTCCGAATCAATGAGGTTGGAAAGTGCGGAGGGGAGGGGTGACATGGACGGGGGGGACCTCCTTGATCAAGCAACATTGATCCATCGGCCGGTGTGTCCAGAAGTGAAAATGAAGGGTGCCGGTTGATCACCGTGCGCCGGAGGCTCTCATGGAGGTGTTGCAGGGTATCAATCTTAGCGTCCAGCTCCTGCACCCGAGCCTCAAGAATCACGATGCAAGCTGCACCATCCCGAATCGTGATTGCCATGGAATGGAGATCCGGCATGGGAACATCGAGTGCTGTACGAGGCACTGCGACGCTGGAAGACCTGACTGCTAAGTAAAAAATTAGGTCAGCTGGTCATCAAGGGTTTGGTGGTCAACGTCAACATGGTGGCCTACGTGACGACAGTCATACTTTACCCTATGGTTCAGATACTTGCAAGCGGACATGGGACAACTACGAAACTGCACGCAAGGCTAGTGACTTGGAGAATGAGACGGTAGTGGAAAGGTACCATGCCAGGTTGCAAGATAATCAGTATGTTGTTTTTCTAATGTTAATGTATCTCAACTAACTGTCATATAATTTCCTTAGTCACTGTATCCCATCTGGATGTCCTCAATCACACCCACCTCCACCAATTGCCAGCACCTTCCGTTCTCAGTTGCCAGCGCATTCCTCACATGCACCTGTCTCTCGCCGTTCTGGTTCCTCTCTGCGCCATCATCATCTATGTGCCCGATCTCCTCGTTTCCGCCCTGCATCTCCCAATCGCCGTCCAATCATCGACGTAGATGAGGTGGACGAAGATGAGTATAACTGACTTTTACAGCCTCAGCTTTCTCCGTAGTGTCTACAACTCGAGTCCTTGGCTTATAATTCAGTGATCTTCATTTTGTTTATTCTACTTCCTCGTCATCCTATGCATCATATGTCTCTCAATCCTATGTATCCTCCTCTCGTGTATATCCACCCTCATATGACACATGTCTCCACCTATGATATCACTTATGTATATCATATATGCCCACCCCCTTATGTTCTATCCTCTTCAATTGAATTTGGTGATTGACTGCTGCCACTTTGGTGTACATTGAACAATGTTACTATGTGTGATATAACTTGACCTTCAAGGCTGAATTTGCCACTGAGCATTAACATGAAATTATTTGTCTTAGTCTTTCCTCATGGTAGTAAAAATGTTAGGTGAATGTAAGCATTTTCCATAACCACCTGGTGTGTCCCTATCAGTGTCAACTGTCCTTCCCTATGGGCATGTGGTTTATTCCTACTACCAGCTACTAGTTTACCTATGGATATAAAAAGCATTAATGGACTTTGCCATCACTATTTGGTCTTTCCCTTCAGGATCTGGTCCTTCCCCATTAGTTTCAAATATAGCAATGGTCTTTTCCAATGACGTTAAAAAATCCCAGCGGTCTTTCCTGATGACAGTTAAAAATACCAGTGGTCTTTCCCATTGTAAACTGGTTGTTCCCCAAGCAATATGGTCTTTCCCATTGTGATCTGGTCATTCCCTATGACAGTAAAAAATCCCAGCGGTCTTTCCCAGTTAGTTTAAAACATACCACTGGTCTTTCCCTATGACAGTATACAATCCCAGCGGTCTTTCCCGGTTAGTTTAAAACATACCAATGGTCTTTCCCTATGACAGTATAGAATACCGGCGGTCTTTCCCATTGTGATCTGGTCTTTCCCGATGACAGTAAAAAGTACCAGTGGTCTTTTCCCTCCTAATATGGTCTTTCCCTCTGACAGTAAAAAATACCAATGGTCTTTTCCCTCTCAATATGGTCTTTCCTATGATGGTAAAAAATATCAATGGTCCTCCTGCCAAGACCTGTACCTGCTCATACCCTTGGATACATGGGTATGGGTGCAGGTCAAGGTCTGGATATCTGCAGGTTTACCCATCCTAATATCTATTGCTAATGGTAATTGCTGGTAGTTTTGTCAGATGCAGAGATGTTTACGATACCATTGGCATCCATGTTGAAACAAAGGTAAGGCAGATGGATGGATCAATGGATGGATGGGCTGCAATTTTGAAAAATTTATTGCAACAATTTGGTTATAGTAGGACCCCTGACACCCCCATGTTGCAGGGAATCCCAATGTATCTGTGGTCCAAAAGTATCTTGTGGTATTTCCCACATAATTTTCATAATGATCCTTGGACCATCCCCAGTACATCACATTTTGGTCCCTATATGTTCAGGGAAATACCACAGAACATAGGCCGGACCCCCCCAAAAGCACCACTTAGGCCTCTACTTCTATAGACATAATACAACCTAAGAGGTACTCGAAATGGGGTGACCAAAGTGAATCTATAATGAAGGCAGTGTCTTTCAAATTGCCAAGCCCAACAACAACATTCTGTGGTTTAATATCACCATGAACATAATTATGGGAGTGGATATATTCGAGATGTGAAAGCTGGGAAAAGGATTAGTGATATGCAAATGCAATGGCCTACACACTGACTGACCAACTGGTCTCCTATATTTACAACCATGTTAAGGCTGAATTTTTGGTTATGGGCAAGGAAGAGATTGTGAAGTGATGGCCCAAGGAGGTCGAGAACAAGAGCATGATACATTGATTCCCTACCGAACCAGATGACACAGGGAATACCAACACTGCCTTCAAGGTGTTTCAGAATATTGTATTCACGCTGCACAGAAGATGAGTGGGCGATGGGTTCCAGTTTAACGGCAACTGCAACATCCTTGATGATGTTCTGTGCACGATACACGACAGCTAAATAGGGTCCAAATGATGAATCAGAATCAATATGTAGCCAGTACTTACTACGTGAATAAATACTGTATGAACCAGATTCCAAAATGTCTCCTAACCTAAACCTTCCATCAACTCGAACAGGGACCTTATCCATGGTGTATACAATAGTAGAAAAATATAACAACACTGAGAGTCTGAGACAAGTGAGACACGACAAGAAAAGCACCCAACTGCCACGTTTGTATTTCAGCTTGAACTGGCTTAAGCTGGCTTAAAGCAGTTCGAACCACGGTTCATAAATTTTTGGCTTATGAAAGTTGCAACTGATTCACACAGCTAATGAGTCGAACCAAGTGATGAATCAATGGTTTGGCTCATGGGGATTGCTGAACTTCTGACATAGCTGTAAATACCAAACCAGAGCAAACCGTGGCCGAGCTGTGGCACTACTACGCAGCGGTGATAGTTAGTGATTTGTTTTCCTGGATCTAGCTTGCATAAATTGTGAAAGTCGTGCTTGCTGACAAGATGGTTTGCAACTGATTGCATGAGGGATATGTGAGTCCATGGTCAGAGAGGTGAAGAAGTATTTGTAGTATCAGTGTTTGCAGTTGAAGCGGGTGGGGAACTTGGGGGAGATGGGAGATGGGAGACCAGGCTAGGACGTGGATTGTTGGGGGACCAGTTTCCCAACAATCGTTCGGCTTTTGACATCTCTGGAAAGTATATATAGTACTACCACATTATAGTGATTTTTGTAAATAATGACAATCTCAAAAAAAGAAAATTGTTTGAGGCTGTGTTGTTTGTGCGTGTTGTACACCATTCATCATCATGGTCAACTGCTGCATCAGCAACGATGCAAAACGCATCGCTCTGCAGCTGAAAAATCAACGACGAGACTCCAACCATGAAATTTGCCAGCTTGTTGACTTCTCACTGTCTACATTATACCGAATTCTATGTCGAAATTGTGCTATTGGAGATGTTACAAAAAAACTTGCTATTGGACGCGGATGCCCACGAAAGCTTATTCATTCTGATTGTCTCTACTTGCTGCGCTTGGCTCATCACAAGCCTACCCTTTTCTTGGATGAATACAGCTGCCATCTTGAAGAATATCGTGATCTCCCTGTGTCTCTTGCAACCATCCATGCCTCATTCAAACATGCTGGACTCAATGTCAAATGGGTGCAGAAGCTTGCTTCTGAACACAATCCCATGGTTCGTGCAGCATTTGTCCATCGAATTGGCCAGTATCCAGCCAACTACCTGATTTCTCTCAACAAAGTCTCAAAAGATGACAGAACTTATGCACATCTTTGGGGTCGGGCACCTGTAGGCCAGCATATTGAGCAGCATGACCCATTTGTTCGTAAATGGCGCTTGTCAATGTTAGCTGCCATGGCTCTAGATCAAGGAATCATTGCTGTAAGGGTTCTTGAGGGCTAGTTCACACACCAGACATGCTATGATTTTCTTTGTGATGATCTTGTAGGTTTTTCATATGTGAAGCTGTTCTCTAAACTCAACTTGACCTTACTAGCTGCCATTGACCAACCCATATCCTGCTCCACGAAGTGTCATCATTCTTGACAATGCTTGTATACACCATTCTGAATAAGTCATCAATCTCATTTATAGCTATGGTAATTGGCTGTCGCGACTTGTTCAAGTGCTGGCATGCTAATGTGTTCATTCAAGGTTGCCGAGTTGAATATTTACCACCATATTTACCTGACTATAATCCTATTGAGCAAGCATTCAGTGTCATCAAATCTCGCCTTTGTCGGAGTGGATTACACACTTTTAGTACCAAGAAACTCTATTATGAGATGTATAGTGTTTGTGACTCCATCACACTGTCAATGACATGGGGCTTTTTCTGCAAATCAGGTTATATATGACGAAGTTCACATACAGTTTGCAAGCACAAATCTTCAGTGTACAATAGCAGTTCAATTACAGCTCATGACCTTCTTTCCAACATTCCTCAGCATCATGAAGGACCGCTAGTTCTCCCAGAGAGAGGCCACCCTCAGTTCGAAGCTGCTCATTAGAGATAAGACAGAGAAGGTGTGGCCCATCCAGATGAATTGCTTTCAGTTTGTCGTGAAGCTGCCCTGGTAGACCAAACCAAGTGACAAAAGACTGGAGATCAAGTTTCGGAGGGATAGCCATTGTCTTGGTGCTGCGAGTTGGGTTTTTCAAAGGAGAGGATGGGCGAATTAGCTCAGCTAGACCAGCAAAGTTGACAGTTATGTTGGATTAGTTGTTATGATTGTGGCCTGCAAGCTGTCCATGTCGTCTTCGTGCAAGAGTTGAAATGTCATCAGAATCTGAATCACCATGGTCAGTTGGATCGAAGATTTTTGAGTTTGGAGGATGTTCAATATCAACTCCAAGTGTATCAGCCTCCTGCATATGACCTGTCAGTTAATATGTCTGAATAATACATTCAGACCTCATGCCATTGCAGCTGCCCAAGTTCGAAGGTGTTTGTGGGTGAGATGGACGTGCTTTGCAGTTGGACCTGAGGGATAACAAAGGTCATATGGGCAACTTTGGTCTTCACAACAATATTTGTTCTGCAGGCTGACTATATGCTGGTCTTGTGCGATTTCCTCCATTGATGGCACACATCAGCAAACTAGCAAAACCTTGTACAGATTTGTACAGATTTGTACAAACAGCACAATCCCACAGCTAAGTGCCCTCTTTACAATATTGTCACAAAGGCTTACAATCCATACACAAAGGCACAATATTGACAGATTTGATGGACTAGACAGATTGGACAGACTAGACAATGTAGACAAACCAGACAGTGTAGACAAACCAGACATTGCAGGCAGATTGGACATTGTAGGCAGACTGGACATTGCAAGCAGACTAGATTATTGTAGACAGATCAAACATGTTGTGCAAACGACATTGTAATGGCACAAAAAAATATACTAAATGATGATATTGATATCATCACTGCCTGCTGCACTGTCCCAGTCATTGCGAAGTTCACCCATCATCCCCTCCTCAGCCCATTCCTTCAGCATCTCTTCAAGCTCCGCGCGACGTTCGGGAATGGTCATCAATTTGTCGACAGACTTTTGCAGTAAGTTGAAGTCGGCCCTGCACGTATCAGCAGTAAGGTCAGGCACCTTGTCAGTACCACTGTCGCGGAAGCCGGTGAGGACACCCTTCATCTGTAAAACATTGATCAGCGAGGAATATAAAATTGATTAAATTAAAGCCTACAACCGCGGCCACCAGAATAAGGCCATTGACAGGAATTCTGTCTTGAAATTCGTCAGTTACCTTGAGTGCTTTTTTACTGTTACCATAGTAAAAACTGAGGCAGGCTTCCTTGAGAACCTGCGACACAAAATTGGTATATTTTCCCTGTAAACATCAATAATGAATTGTCGCACACCACGAGGTTGCCACTGACCTCAGAAGAGTCGGGAAGCCGAAGATATTCACCGGTCTTAAGGAGCTTAGCCGCTGCTGCACTGACGCGCTCCTTGTGTACTGAGTTGCCCTTCGAGAATATGCCATATGATTGCTTCGCAATAAATATTACAATTTATTACCGCTTCCTGATGAACTGGAAGAGGATGCAATAAAATTGCCTGCAACCACATTTCCAACTTTGCTGCCTGTAGGAGAGCCTGCCAAGATTCTGGATAGAAGCTGAGCCTCGAGGGGTTAGCTTGTTGGTTGGCACACTGTGCACCGCCTCCAGATTTGCTGCATTGAACAGGTGAGGGACTTCAAGAGTGAGATTGGCTTGAACTAGGAGCGGGAGAAGGTGTTTGATCTGGCTGAGCAGAATGCCTGGGCAGAGACTGTGACAAAGACCGTCCACAAGAGGAGGGCAGTTTGTGACTGGAAGAAACCATAGACTGAGTTGGAGAGCGCTGATGAGGAGACAGTTTGCGAAAGGAGGAAGGATGAGGGGACTTTGAATGAGAAACAGAGAAGTGTGCAGGTGGACGCCCTGGCCGCACACAGGTCGATGCAGTTTTTTCAGATGGTACTCTGTGAGGTGCGCGTCCAGGGGCCAAGCGCCCAGAAGAGGAAGAAGTGCTTACTCGTTCGAGGGAGGGGCGACGAGATCCCTAATGCAACAAATTAAAAACAACAAACCCAAAGTCACAAGAACTTACAAGGCTGGGTGAATGCTGACGAGACCTCAAGCCAGTTTCATGTGGACAGGCGGACCCTTGTTTGCGAGAAGACTGAGGCACATATCAGTAATCGTGCATAATAATCAAAATGGAACACATGCACGTGCTAAATGAGTCGGGGAGGGAGCTTTACGTCATCCATTTTTCGTTTGATGGCATTCAAGGACATCAAAAGTGTCTGTGGCTTCATGATGAGTATCATTGCCTGAGTCTTGGCTGTCAAAATCCCCCTGGTCGGGATCCATCTGAGTATTGCCATCTTCATTGTCTTCATTGTCTTCATCGCCGCATAAAGCCATGTGGTCGACTGAAGCCCTTGAGCGGACAATAAGGAATTAAAATGTGAGGAAAAGATACAAGGTACGACTTACTCCTGCGTATCCCACAACAAACTATCTTCATCTTCGCTGGGTCGATCATTGTGATCATGTTCATCGGTGTCATTCTCTAACTCGTCATTCTCTAACTCGTCACGTTCATCCAAGTCCCACATTCTATCCTTCCTTGCCTCATCTTCTATGGATTCACCTACGGCTTTCTTGGAGCTGCGACCAATGGGCTGAGTTGCCTCCCGAGGATCCTGTTTGTCAGTGGAAGATGACTTGAATCCAAACCTATCATCAGGGCCGGCCATGCGTAGAAACGGATTACAACATTGAGTGTTTGATTGTGAGTCGTCGTCTTCAACAAGACGAGGTAGGAAATTCGTATCAGCCTAAAAGAATGTTAGTTGAGCTATTTTTAAAAGAATCACTTACCTTTTTCTTCCCTTTCTTGAGCTGCTGCGAAGGTGCCATTGGATTGACTTCTGAGTCACTTATTTCGACAGTGCCTCTTCCCTTCTGTTGCCTTGCTGGGGCCATCAAGGTCTCTCCAGCTTTTTTGAGCTGTGCTACATGACCACCAACACCTCGTGTGGACCGTTTGCTTTGCCGTCGAGAATCGTCAACGTCTTCAGATGCCGTGTTGGTGACCTTCCTCATCCTCGAATTGTGGGGACTCAAGGACCGTGAGGGAGAAGCATGCCTGGCTTTCTTCCTAGGAGGCATGGAGTGAACTTCAAGGATGAAGTTCAAAGTTGGATATCCCGAAATATAACAGAGGAACTTACGTAAGCTAGGAACATTTTGTACATAGTGCTACATTCAATGAAGAATATGAAGAATGAAGCACAGGTGGAAGATGAAGGAAAAATACTACAGAAATATGGAATTTAGGTAGAGGTGTTTAAACGAAGAATAAACGAGATAATGAGATATCGGACTCGGATGCAGTGCATTCTACAGATGCTACACAACAAGGGAAGCCCCGAACCAGTCAATTAGCATTTGACAGGTGCCATCTTTGACCGACGAGACCGATGAACAGCTACAGAAATATCAGGAGGCAGTGGAGCAATGGTTGATTCCGGTGCAGATGGAGGTGCAGGAGGAGGCGATAGAGCGATGGTTGGTTCTGGTGTAGATAGAGGTGCTAGAAGTGCAGGAGGATGTATCTGAGAAAGTTGCTGACTGATCATGCTTAAGTCCCACATTAGAATATCGCATATTGTATTGTGAGACAGGGCAGTTGACTGAGAACTTGCAAGAGAAATTGTGCAACACCACTTTTCAAGGAGGGGGCAGCAGAGGATAAAGTATGGAGTGATTAAGGGTGGGTCAGCCAGACCATTGATGAATTCCCGCTTCCAAATACTGCTGGTCGCGAGACCATCTTGGGTCATGTTTTCATAGGAGACCGCCCACCTCCAAACGGCATCCCGTCGCAAAGCTTCTGGACTGGGTTGGGGGGCCAGTATGCCCTTCGGTCCTAGATATATCACGGTAAACTCAAGCAGGATGTAAAAAAGTGACTCGAGATCGTCGCAGGGCATATGTTGGACCAAATGACCATCTCCCATTAGGCGGAGAACGCGAAAAGATATGTAGGGTACAGTTCCCTGTAAACCATGAGGTTAACACAAGCAGAAATAAGTGCAACGTTGTAACTCACAGTACCGTGTGGACTTGGATCTGCTTTCCCATCATCATTGAGAAACTTTGCATGGTCAAAGTCAATAAAATAGCCTTTTCCTTGGTAAATAATAGCATTGTTAGGGCTGAGATCTCCGTGAAGGACACGTCGGCCCACCATTGCCTTATGGGCTACAATGCATGGTGATTACAGAGGACTTCAGGTGATTGCAAAAGGACTCACCAACAACAAGATCACGAAAAACCCCGATTAACTTGGGTACATCGTTGAAGTGAGTCAATGGCACCCCACAGGGTGTCAAGAGAATACGCCGATGGATTTTTGTCTCGAATTTGAATGTCGAGCAATGACTACAAATGCGTGAAGTGGAGTCGGGCTTCCCATCATAAGAGCTAGTTCGGCAACTCGATATTTTCGATATTTTTCAATATTTGCTTTGGCATGTTTGCGAAAATGTTCACCGGCATCGTTCCGAGATGTCGGAGCTCGAACCTTGCTTCTCTCCTACTGTACATATTATCAATGGATGTATACCCTCATCTAACCCTAGAGCGGCGTAAGAGGCTTTTTGCTGGTGCGGTCGCGATCACTGCGATCTGTGCACAGTACACTACTCTTCTCATGGCCCAACCTGAAGTCAATGCTCCCCCTCACTCCAAGGCCCCACCAGCGCAGTGGAATGATGTCGAGACTGTTACCCTTGTAGACTATCTCTATGATCATCGCTCAGAGGCTGAAGGGGCAGGCAACTTCAAGCAGCAGGTTCTTGGCTCTGCTGCAGAGTTCATCAACAATCATGAGGCGCTTCAATCCACTCGCGCAGGTCCACTGAAGACAGCGAAATCAACTCGAAACAAGTGGACATCAGTAAGCCCTATTTGATCTCATCTGATCTAAGCTGACGAGTCTCATCTAGCTTAAAAACATATTTCATGCTATCGAGAAGTACCGCAACCAGACAGGGGTCCACTGGGACAATGAGACTGGAGCTGGGATTGAAGGAACTGCGGCTGCGGCTGTATGGACATCGTATGTCAAGGTATGTCCCCTCTTCGTCATATTGATTTGAGCGCTGACTTTTGTCAGGCAAATAACCTCATGCGTCCTTTCCGCAACAGGGGATGGGAGCATTATGAAAAAATGCAGACCATCATCCCATTGGGCGGCGCTAGAGGGCGGCACGTCTTCCGTCCAGGTGGCGCTGCTCCCTCCACCACCAATGCTGATAACGATCTTGCGGATGCTGCTGGCCCATCAAGCACTGCTGCTGTTCCTGCTGCTCCAAGCGCTGCTGCTGTTCCTGCTGCTCCAAGCGCTGCTGCTGTTCCCGCTTCTGCAGGCCCATTAAGCACTGCCGCCACCCGGGGGACCGAACCATCTGGAAAGCGCACGTATCTTGAATAGAACGGGTCCGACGTGAAGATGATAAGCATCTTGCGGAAATAACTACATACTATTAGATACTGTCACTTGAAATAAAATAAAATAAACTCACCGTGAAATCGTTTCGTTCGAGCGTTGAAATCTCTCCGCAACATGCCTGATTGATAGGCCAGTCACAGAGGTGTAAAGAAAAATCGCAAGTTGTTCCTCGAGGGACACAAACTTGGAGTCTGAATGGCCCATGGTGCGAAGCTCGGAGATAAGCTCCACAAATGCATTGGCGCGCATGCCAAGCTCACACCTGATGCGCTCTGGGTGACCAGTGAGCAACTCGATCACCCAGTCTTGCCCAGTTAGCGCTGAAGTGTGATAGGGCTCGGGATCTTTGGGATATATTGATTGTAGGATGCCGTGCGTAGAAGCAACAACGATGCTGATTACGAGTACCATGCATTTGAGGAGTCGTTCCCGGACCTCTGGCCGAGGATTCGTCATGAGCGCTGCTAGGCGTTGGCGCTCCATCGCGAACCCCAGTGGTTGGGGATCCATCAAGGTATATACCCTACCCTCATTATCACTGATCTTGTTGATAAGCTCAAATTCAAGCTCCGAATCGCCTTGGACTTAGGGGGAGCATTGACTTCAGGTTGGGCCATGAGAAGAGTAGTGTACTGTGCACAGATCGCAGTGATCGCGACCGCACCAGCAAAAAGCCTCTTACGCCGCTCTAGGGTTAGATGAGGGTATACATCCATTGATAATATGTACAGTAGGAGAGAAGCAAGGTTCGAGCTCCGACATCTCGGAACGATGCCGGTGAACATTTTCGCAAACATGCCAAAGCAAATATTGAAAAATATCGAAAATATCGAGTTGCCGAACTAGCTCTAAAGTACGTCCCAATATTTCTTGAGTTGAACAACATTCGGGATGCCTTCGACTGCTTTGAGAAGTTGTATCTCGACATCTTTGACATCCTCGTTGACCCAACAATCTTTGAGTGTGTACTCCTGATTAAACTTATCTCAAATGCGATAGCAGACAGTTCCGTGCTTGAAAAGACCGTGGCTCTTCCATAGTATATCCATAATCCAGTATACATTCTCATCATTGTCGTAAACCCAGCCTATTGCCCCAGGAAGCATGGCATCAAAGCCATTCGGTAAATCAGCGTGAGTTGGAATGGTGTTACAAGAGTTGCAGATATGGATTGTTGGATCAAAGCCGAGGGAAGAGCGATTTCCTAAAGTGACGGTATTCAACACATCGACAAAATGTTCAGGGGATGTAACGATCGGGAGTGGTTTTGAGATCACCATGCCGGAGCGATCCATATAATGGGCACAAAGTTTGAACTTGGAGATACTAAAAAGTAGGATGAAATGACGCCATGGTTGCTCCCGCATCATCAGATAGCCCTTGGTAGCAACCCCCAAGAATGAAGGTATTTTGCGATCAACAGAGAGGTCAGATTGGGTAATCTCAACTCCTGTGAGGACATCTTTCCAGGACTTTTGCGAGAAACTGAGCTTTCTGAGCTGGTAATCCAGGAGGACAAGATCAGGCTTCCGTGAATCGGTAGTGTCTGGTATGGAAGTGGTGGTGAACTCTGAAGACCAGTACCGGAGATCTGTTATCTCGGTGAAGGGCAAAATGTGCGAGCGCTGGATTCCCGAGCATTGTGATGACGAGTGCTGTGATCCATCAACATTGCGCTCTTGGACTTGCTCCTTGAGCAGTTCACGCATGTGATAGTATATCGCCCAGAAAAGACACTCCCAATTCTTTTCCTCCATTTGTCCTACAGGCTTAGCTCTTTTCGTTCCAGCCTTGACGAAATCCTGCTGCCCCAAGCTGCCCTCCATCTCTAGCATGGAATCCCCTTCAAGTTCTATGTCTGTATCAGTCTGCGACTCAGTCTGAGCTGCCTGAAACCGGGTATGCCTAACTGCAACCTTGTGTTTACTTCGGAAAGCATTTTTGAGTCACCATTCCTTGTCAAAAACGGGAGCCCCATGTATCTGAGTTTGGCTTCCTGGTACTTGTTTGATGTAAGTGATCCTCTTGATTTCCGATTTGTTGAGATTTGAAAGAGGAATGAGGATTTTAAGGATGGAGGTCTTAGGCTTCAGGTCCTCCTCCCACAGAACCAGGGGATCTTGGTCTTGCAGGCCCAACTCACTCTTCATGAGTATATCCATTTCATCCTTCGTGCAGTGTATGGGATGGATAGTGACGGTGCTGACAGCCGCTAGGAGATAGTTGGCGAAAGATGTTGACATGGGGGGTAATTCGTTGTTCTATTGTCCCTGGCGGTGTAGCACTCCTGTTCTTTCAGTAAGTCGTGCAGAAATCAATCAATTTCATAATATTAAAATCGCAGGTAGTGCATTTACCCGGTTTGTACCGTAGCGTTCATTAGGATGCGACAAAAGAATTTATTTTCAAAGAGTCTTTAACTAAGTGTCCGTTTGAAACAGTACATAGTAATGATATCCAAAGCTAGCTATCTATCGGGGGTAGTAGCATTGTGAAGTGCATAATAAAAGTCCTTATCAAAATACTTGTTCAAAAAAAACTCTTGGAAATAATGTGTAGATGTAGCTGAAGTCAATCGTACATCCGCCACATCCCCCAGATGAGGGATGATACTAATAAATGCACGGAGTTGGCGAAGAGGAATGATACTACAGATAGGGGTACCATCTGCATGCTTTGCACGCTTCAACACATGCATCCCAGTGGCAGGATTGCAGGGGCCAATGTTCAGACGCCGCACGTAACAAAGGTACTGATCTCACCAAGCAATACGAGAACCTTGACGATGAATTGGGCGCATTATGAGGCATAATTCGCAGATAACGTGGCCTTTGGGAAGTGCGTTGATTATATGCATTGACATATGGTGAAAAAGGACTCACCTGATAGACCTGATTTAGGCCATTCATATGCGGTATCAACATTGACGAGGATGGCGCCCCGTCGACCTTTTGGCCACCCAGGGCCAGGAGGAGAGGCATGGATAGTTTGAGCTGGCAACACAATATCGGGATTATGGAAAGATTTGAGCTGGAGGCGAACCATATTCCATAATTGAATGCGGTCAAATGGAAGGATTGGTGGACGATCAATAGATGGTCTCTGTCTTGGACCCCCCACCCCATGAACTATTCCTCTCTCTCACACGTCATGCTGTAAGAAGCTCGAAAGCGCAACATGCAGATCTGGTAAGTTGAAGTCAGTACTGACATCATCAAGTTTGACTCCCAAGCGAGATGGACTGAAGTTGAGGTGGATGGCAGTGTTTTCAGCAATAAATGTTCAATGAGGGATACTGGAATCGCATCTCGCAGTAGCCATTTGCCTGGCTTTGCGGAAATAATTGGTCACAACATGAGTGTGGTTCATGTCCTCGAGCAGTGCTGTTCGCGGATTGTTCGTTTCCTGTTCATCTCCATCGTCCAGGTCGTCCTCTTCAAGAATGTCTTTGGCCCTAAATTGGGATCATGGGATGCGGGATGGTTCTTGAGCAATGTGGCAATTGCGAAATGTCGCAACTTCTCCTCCTGATCAAGATGACGACAGATCTGTGGGTCATAATCATTGTTATTCGTTTGCCGTGCGGGTTCCTTGATTTCGGAAATGTGTGCATGCTCGGTAGCATCTGCAGACCACTGTATGAGGGCGCCGACTTTGTGCGTGCTGGAAGTGATGCTCTGTAGGAGCTCAAGCTTAGGAATATGCCAATTTTCAATAGGTTTCTTTGTGCCCATCCGCGCGCCTAAGGTCAAGATAACGTCTTTGTGTTTGTGAAAGGTCGACAAAGATTGGTTGATACACGCCAAGATATTGTCATCAGGTGCAGGACACTGCGCTAGGTAACGAAGATCCATGAGCACACAGATTGCGATGACAAAATGACGAGGGGCTGCACCGGATATTAGGCCAATGATATAGCACTGAATATCACGATGGCCCCTACCTGTAACTTGTTTCAGTTTAGATATTCCACCAGAAAAGTGGCAATAACCAGTAGTCGGCTGTAATATCGAGAATCGAAAATCTAGTTCCTGAGCTCCAATGACCACGATACACCACTGAAGATCGTGGTCGTAAAATTCTTTGTGCCAATGGTGCAATGATTCTGGCGTCAGAAAAATGGAGGGATCTGCGAGCGGCCAATCCATCCAGAATGGTGCATGGACGCCGTTCAGCCGCGAGTCAGCACAAGCCTCAAAATAAGCCTCCAGGTCATCAGGATTGACCATGATACCAGCGAGCTGTCCAAGAGTGATGGAGCACGTACGAGCAGGGTGCCAGAAATTATCCCCAAACTGCAAATATGAGGCCATGGTGAAAGGAGAGGTCTTTCTGCACACACATGCAAGCATGGCCGCCTCTGGGGTATCAACAATGTATGCTGTGAGAGGGGTAAAGCAATGGTGGACGTTTCCTACCAGATCGGACATCATAATCCCGACTTCTGCAGCTTTCATCAATGGCTTTAGAATGATCGAAAGAGATTCATGGACGAGACGGTCTTCAAGCATGCCCCGCATTCATTGATTGGGATGTAGATAGTTTGGAATTGGAAGGAGAGCTGTGAGCAGGAAAGCCTTAGATGAGAGTTTTGTATGGGTACACATGCAGATATTGGAGAGGCCTAGAAGAAGAGGGTGGGCAACCCTGGCACCAGTCATGGTGGTGATGTTGGTTTTGTCAGACGAAAGAACAGTGCTGAGAACTGTAGCACCTCTGGGAAGTCGTGTCTGCATGATATATGGTGAGATGACGCAAAATTCGGCAGAATTAGTACTTACTTGCATTTCCCAAGCGGAATCTCCTGTTAACCATTCCGAATATACATGCAAAAGCTGCTCTGCTGTTTTGTAAACACGGCGAGGGATGAAATCAAGCTTGTCGTGAAACAATGGATTGCTGAAAAGGCTCTCCAAGCATTCCACGGGGTCCCTCCAAAAGAGTCGGATTGGATACTTGGTAGGATGGATGGAGGAGATAGTCTGGCATTTCCAACTTGGTCCACTAGGGAGCATTTCAGCACGGCTTCGTAGTTCTTTGGTGTTTTTGAATGAAAGATGCAATCTTTGGATCTGAAAACAAGTTGCGGTTGATGTATCAATGCTCCATCCTGAGGGTGCAAAGAATATGCACCATTGAGAGCTTCAAAAATTCATCTATTGCTGCCATGCTGAGGGACGAGTGCAGGAGATAATCAGCAACTTCCCACTCTTCTTTGGATGTGAACGGATAGTAGAGGTTGTCTACCCTGCATTCTGCATATTCATCAGCGTCAAATAAATCCAGGAAGGTCGAGCCGTCTTGGGAGGAACAGGCCCCCACACCATCATACACTTCCTCCAGTGATTCTCCAAACATTCTGAATTCATTGTCGATGTTATCGTGCCAGTGATCCCCATCGTAAACTTCTGGGATGCTGTTGGTATCATCCCCTGCGCGACGCTGGGGAGGAACGACTTCGGTGAACTGCAAAATATCAACAATGTCACACATATGACTATGACACAAGGATCAAGGCTGGCTCAGGTGTCGAGCGACGCTGCTCTCCTTCGTAAATGTTCTCCCGCACTTTGGGCATGTTGGTGCTGACATTGAAGATATTAAAATATTCACATGATCTTTGTTGATCTCCAATATCCACCCACCTGTTATGATGTCTCATACTCGCACTGCAGCCTCTCATCCCCGAGCATTCCACAGTACTACATCCCCTTCTCCAAGTATCAGAGGACATTCACATGAGCCACACAACCAAAGACCTCTTCACACCACGACTCCATCGGTGTTTTATTGGCCTGACTTTGGTGAAGCATTATCAATAAAGGAGGAGAAATTACCTACCGCGCTGCACCTTGTGAGCACCTTACTTGCTTTTACTTGCCAGGACTCACATTATGCAGCAAGATGATTATGCCCAATCAGACGGAGAAATTGAAGGCGATGAACACTCTGATCTTGCGCTTGAGGCTGCCAAAGCTGAATGAAAGGTGTACGAGGCTAGGAAGCACCTGGCCAACTGCCTCCATACAGAGCAGAAGAAAATAAGTATCTCAATGTCCATGACTCAGGGTCACTCAGATGGTACAACAGTGAGTATTTGTCCTCAATTTTGTTATGTATGACTTTTGAATGTATGTCTACAGACAGTCGGCACCTCATCCTCATACTAAACTCACGCATTTTACGGTACTCAAGACAGGGACAGAACATATGTGGAGCTATTATTTTTGACCTTCGCAAAGTACCTATAGCTCTATTTATGATGTAATTACTTTGTTGCCTTGTAGTTATTGTGTCGCTTTGTGGAACCTTGTGGAACCTTGTAAAACCTGTAGTACTGTACCCATGTACCGTCTATGGACTTGTATGGCTTTGTATTGACGTGTTGTTTCTGTCACCAAATTTGTAGTTTGCTGATGCATGCTATGACCACAACAATCAACACATTAGCAATTACACACATGAAACTAGCAAATTACAGTGCATATATACCTGTTTTCATTTCTTTCTGGGGTTCTCATTTTCTTCATTGTCATCTTGTTCATCTTCAGTCAGATTGTCGCCAGTGACAACCTTGATTGTACCAACTAGTGCTGCCATGGTCCAGTTCCAAACCGTGGTTCGAACCTGACCATTGGTCAGGTTCGTCCTTGGTTCGGTCCATGGTCCAGCATTTTGCATGGACCGAACCGGAATGAGGTTCATGGTCTGCTAACTCCTGTGCGGTTCATCTATAGGTTCGGACCTTCCCGAACTGTTCCGAACCCCGAACTGAATCTTCCTTGCAATGCCTTCAAGGCTCAATCACACGCTTATGGTTATTTTGACTTCTCGATCCTCAAGATTCGCCATGGTCACTTTGACCTTTGGCATTCTCAAGACTTTTTTCGACTTATCCTGTCCAGAGGTTCGCATCCCGCACACCCTGCTGTCCGATAACACCTACCTGTTCAATCAAGCTCAAGGTATGACTTTTCCATCAAATCAAGCGCAATAAACTGACTGACATATTATATTTCTTAGGATCCTTCAATGCATACTATGAGTTAGTAGGAGATTGGGTATTCACATATAAAGGGAGCAAGGTGAGTGATATATTTTGACTACCGGTACAATGTCTGAACTGTCCCCATTTCCGCTCCATCCTCCTCTGCCCAGCCACCCACAGACGCCTTCTCTGTGCTACTGCAGACTGGACACAAACAAGTGCCACTTACTGCAGGAGCTCGATGCTCCATTCGCACGTCTAAACCTTCTGCGCACCTTCGCGATTCCGACAACACTTGTTCTTCAACAAGCCGCAAGTGCGCATTATCTAGTGCAACTGAGCAACTAGTTTGGAAGAAGGTTGTGTTACAGCTCTCTGCTCCATTATCTGACAACGACACGGATATTGATACTGACCACGGTGCTGGTCAATCGGATGAGGCCGAGGACGAAGATGTACCAGCACCTGAGGACGAACCTGAGGATAAACTTGAGGATGAACCCGATGATCTTCAAGACACCACCATCCAAGCCGCTTTATCAAAGAGTGAGCGCAGCGCTGATATTCGAACAATCTTCACTTGTGACAACAAACATTGGGTCTGCAAACCTTGCAGGGATGCCGGTGAACTTGAAAGCAAGTACACATTTCGCGGAGGTATCTCTACACTACACACGCACATTTGTCGGTATGTTCACGTCTTCTTTCTCTTGAATGATCACTAATTATATATCTATCAGTAATAAAGGTCATTTTCAACTTTACAATTCACACTGCGAAGCCGCAAACATCACCATGCACCCTCGAGCGGTTCCAACTGGTGAGGTTCAATCCCTGTGAGTTACATTTGCCGTATTGTAGTGTGTTGTACTGATTCATAGATAGTTCAAGGCAATCCACCCTCGATGGCAGCCTTGCCCTGAAAGCACCCATGTTTACCAAGGCAGGCCTTCTGGAGTATATTATGGAGTTGATTGTGACCGAGGACGAGGCATTGCAACTCGTCGACAAACCAGCCTTCTGCAACTTGCTTCGTTATGTCTGCCCCGCCCTTGCTGAAAGTGACATGCCACACTGCACAAAACTTACGGAGACTGTTAAGGCCCGTGCAGTACAGGTGGTCAATGTCATTTGTGAGCGTCTCGCAAAGGTAGACAGCCAAGTCTCGATGACCTTCGATTCATGGACATCAATCATTGGTGACCCTTTCTTCTCCATCACAGGCCACTATATCTGGAGCCCGGATGACAAACCCCAGCAATGGGAGTTATGCCGTGAGCAACTCAGTTTTGCGTACATCCAGGGCAATCATAGTGGTCAGAATATGGCTCGCTTGATTGTTGATACCATTGACAAATATGAACTACGAAATAAGGTAAAGTTTAGTCTACTACTTTGCTGCACTGAATCTAATCAGTGTGTGGTAGGTCGGATGGATGACCTCTGACAATGCCACCAATAATGATACCGCCATGAAAGCAGTTGGACAAGAAATCGATCCTGAGGGTACGTGTTGGGCACCTGATGTGCACTGCATCAGGTGCCAAGAACATATACTTAATCTTGCAGCACGCCACTTTGTTGACGCCGTCGCCCACACACCTCAAGCTGCTCTCATGAAGAAAATTCAACAAGCGCTTGATAATGGCAACGATGCTGACCTCGACACCTTAAATAAACAGCTTTCTTCTATGAACGTCAGTAATGACAACGACAATGACAACAATGACGACAACACCTTATTCAATACCGGCGATTCACTTGGCAAAGCGCTTGCCCTTATTGAGCAGGTATGTGCTATATTTTTAGACTATTCTTTTGCTGATCGAGATCCTCAGATCCGAAAGTCCCCTCAAGCTCGAGCATTTTTCTGCAAGGCTTGCAAAGAGGAAAATGTACCTGAACTCGAGCTCTTGCAATGGATCCGGACTCACTGGGCATCGCTATATAAATGCCTGGACTGCATGTTGATCTTGCGTCAAGTGAGTTTGTTTGTTTCAATGTTTAAAAGTGGCCTAATTTTAATTAAATAGGCCGTAAACTGTTTCACCAACCTTGCCGACGAAAGCCACGAAGTGCCAACTCTTCGCAACAAGACTTATGACAACTTCAAGCTCGATCGAAGCGATTGGAGACACCTCGGGCTTATTCACCAAGTCCTCAAGGAACCAGCCACGGCTCAGCAATCATTCTCGTCAGCAAAATATCTGACCGCATGGAAAACGATACCTACACTAGAGTGCCTCGCTGATCGATGGAGATCCATGGCAGATGACCCGCAATATCCTCTGATCGCTGATGCGATTAAGGCCGGACTCAAGAATGTCGACAAATACTTCAAGAAAACAAGTCAATCAGACGTTTATTTTATTTGTCTTGGTGAGTACTATCAATTTTTAAAACTTGTTCTTATCTAATATAATTTAAGTTCTTGATCCAAACTATAAGCTCGCATACGTTGAAGGCCGGTGGGATTTTGGAGATGTTGCAGATGGCAGAGCTCGTCTGGAGGCTGTGGTGAGTACTCGTCTATGTTGTTTTCCCGCTCTAATCTTATTTTTTTTTGTAGTTCAATGACTATTATACACCGCCGAGTCGAACACCTACTACCAATGAGCAATCCGCTTCACCGACAAGAGCTGCCAGTGTATGCAAGCACTATGGCGACGATTGGATGCACGCGGCTATTAGGATGCGTAAGACATCAGACCACCTGATTCACAATACTCATCAAGAGCTCAACATGTACTTGTCTTCGCCACTAGAGGAGACTGATGACATTGTGGCCTGGTGGGGGGTAATTTTTCTTTTTGACTTGTTTTTTCGCTACTAAATCTACTTAATAGCTTCACTCGCTGCAATACCCTACACTCGCGTGCATCGCGTGAGACTATCTACCCATTCAAGGCAGCTCTGTTCCTTCCGAACAAGCATTCTCAAGCGGAGGAATCACTTCGACTATCCGACGCAATGCACTCGCGACTGACACGTTCACTGCACTACAACTACTGAAGGGAGCATATAGGAATGGGCATCTTTCTGCAGAAGTAGAGGCTGAGGGACATGCGGCTTCATTGGACATGTAACTATGAGTACAAATATCTTGCCTATGTTTTTTTTTCCTCGCTGTAATTTTTTTGTGTTCGGTTCGTGTTCAGACCGAGAAAAAACCGAACCTGACCGCTGCGAACCGTTTGCAAAGGTTTGGTCTAAGGTTCGTTGAAATAACTAGAACCAAACCTTGGTCCAGTTTTGGGTTCTCGTCCAACCACCTCTGAACCAAACAGAACCGGACCGCGGCAGCGCTAGTACCAACTCAATAAGCCAAAAATACAACATGGTGACGAGATATAAGTACCTTCTGTTCAGCTAGCTGGAGTGTAACCTCAGCTTTTCTCGCACTCTGAACCTGAGTACAAAGCTCTAAATAATCATCTTCATTGTCAAGAGAGACATCTTTGTTTTGAGAACGGTACACAGTGTATGGGAAAGTGAGGGAATCGGATCCTTCAAGCCTGGAGCCAGCATAGAGCCAAGATGTTTGAAGCAAGTTACGTTGTTTGATGGTATCAAGGACTTTGATAATCATGTCCTTCATAGTCATGTCTTCATGTACATAAACTATCTTTGTGATTGTTGTTGGCTTCGCATTCCTTCGTCGCTTGGGGTCAAATGGTTGAAGAGGTGTGAAAAGCACAGTAAATTTCATTCCCTTCTCATCATTGTACAGGCTCCGGCCCCCTGTTCTTCATGAGCAGTGTCCCAATGATGGTCCAGATATTGAACATACATCCATTGTTGAGGTCTTCCACATCGGAGCTAAGTTCACGGCCATTGTTGTTTGCCATTATGGAGTAATGAGTCAGATGTGTGTAAATGTGCAAGTATTATTGGTGCAGATGGTGGTCAACACTCCAGCGGTACAAGGTTTTTCTTTTTTTGGATTTGTCATTATTTACAAAAATCGCAATAATTGCATATCCGAGACCATGCGAATCTAGAACAGTATGGGTTGTCACATCAGGTGCTGGTATAGTAGTTAGTCAAGTCAAGTTATCTCTGCCACTCCTTTCCAATCAGATCCAATCCCTCACCCAGCTCAGACATCATGAATCCGAGAATTCATGTTTACCACAAAAGCATGATTCCCTGTACCTATTTGACGGTAACATTGTCCTCACGGCCCCAACTAAGTCTGGCGGAACGACCGTATTTCGGGTCCACCAATCAATGCGGCTGTCCAATCATTCACCCATCTTTGCAAATATGTTGAAAACCCTGTCAGGGATGAAGTACAAATGTACGATGGCATTCGACTAGTGCACCTCACTGACGATGCCGAGGAGATCGAGTCTGTGTTCAAGTTGATGTATATTCAGTCGTAAGCAAGCTTTCTCCAACATAATCAGCTATTGATTTGTGCCGCCTTTCTAACTTAGTCCTCCGGTACTATCTCAACGCCTAAGTATTCCAAGCATAATGCTCGCTGCTTTCTATCATCTATCTCGTCTCTCCATTGGCCGCCCGCTCCATGTCCCAAAAGATTCGCTGCGACAACACACCGCCGACTGGAACCTTCTCACAGCAGCCGACTTGATCTGCCTGATTATGGGAAAGGAAGGTCTGTCGATGGTTGCCGCTTCAATGTTAATACCGGATTGTTGCGGTGATAAAACTGTGAAGACCCATTGGATGGAAGAAGACTGTAGGGGATGCAGAAGGTCAATGGTGGAGCAAATTCATTGGGAGTGTAAGCGCACGTCGGACGTTCTCTCGACTCTTCGTCAGTACTTGACGATAGAGTCACTGTTGTCACCAATGTGTAAAACATGTTCTCGTATCATCAAGACCCAGCTGAGGAGGGTGTGACACACGGGGCCAGGTGAAATTGACGTGCCTGTGACGCGGCACTGTAACAAATTCCTATGTACAGATCATGTTTACACAACTTCATATCGCATTCCAAACACTTTAAATCATCATTAATGATCAACATATGAGTGTCTGCCTGTGTACAGGCTCTATAGTGCTGTATTCACCTCTCACCAAATTTACAGTGCTTGTCCTCTGCGTTCATACTACTAGTATGCATCTTGCGCATCAGTCCTATATTGCTGCATTAGTGCATCAGTAAACCGGTGAGTTCTTGCTGGGGATTATGCTGATTATGGTGCTTTTACATAGTCATACTGTAGCGTTTCGACCTTAGGTTCGTGGGAATATATGCACTGCATTACATAACGGGTTTGTGACATGTTCGTCGACCTTTGCGATGTGCGACGAACCTAATTTAGGTTCATCCGAGGCTCCAAAGTTATGCATCAAGGACCTCCGAGTCGCAAGTTCAGCCATCAATGTCCTCGCTTAGTACTCTAGAAGTTGCACTTCTGTGAGTTGTCAATGCTTGCCATCAATGTCCTCGCTTAGTGCTCTGGGAGTTGCACTTCTGTTGTGACTTCAGATCTGCCTAGGCCGCTTTGAATAATATAAACATTACTGCCAGGTATGTTTCCTGCAATTTGGTTTTTCACTGTTACTCATCATGTTTCCTCATAGTGATCTAGTTCTCAGATTTCCGCCTGTCTTGCAGGATCACCATCACCTGTTGACACCACCCCCTTACTTCGCATCTTTCATCCCTCTTCCCGATCTCTCAATATCAGCCCTCGTCAACTTCACAGTACTTCCTGGTTTCAATCCGACACTTGCGGGAGTTGATGTCCATCAGTTTTTTTTGTCAATTGAATGCACCACTCGTGATGTTGCTAGCGACTTCCTTGAGCGCTCCATCCCACCACTTGCCCTGTCATCTCGACTCTTGGACGAGTTCAACCAGGCTTTGCTTGACGGAGCAAAGTCTGTTTGTGACCCTCATTTTTCAGGCAATTTGCCGTGCTGGGTACTTACCTATTGGCACAACTTAGGCCATGCTGTTGCCTCCAAGGAAAAATGGTCGATGGTGTGTCATTGGTTGGCACAGCGTGGCCTTGATAGTGGGGACGAAGAACTTTCGCTTGCTGTCAATGAGACATCCTGTGCTTTGCAGACTCTGGGTTGGAATATGGACCTGCGGCATTTCTTCAAACATCAGATCTTGCCGACTTTCTTGCCTTGACGCCAATGAAGGGTCACTTTGTTGATGCCATGGTCAATGGGATTTCCCACCAAATTCAGCTTGATTCGCAGCTCCGCAAATCAACTGTTGTTGAGGAGCTGACATTCGCTTCAACCCTGCGCTATGACTCGAAGCGGTGGTCTCAGTACATGTTTGACAGGGGCTTCACAAGGCTACGTCAACTTGGTGACTCGTTAAGCAATGGAGAGCTTGAATACATTATATTTCCCATTAATATCAATGGTGCACACTGGACAGTCTTTTTGGTGGATACGAAGGCGGGAGAGATATGCTATGGTGATTCTTTGGACTGGCCATGGCCAAAAACAGATGTTGATCGCATTCAGCAATGGCTACGTGAGCATGGCTTTAGAACTTTTTCGAAAGGCGCGATACTTTCCCATGGTCGCCAACAGGATGCATACTCCTGTGCAATCGCCATGATTAACACCATACGCCACAAACTCTATGGTACTCCTCTATTCACAAATGAGAAAAGAGACCTGCTTCGCATTCAGGAGCTTATCTTCCTGCTCCGTGCTCACTTTTCTGAAGACGAATCAAAAGCTGCTTCAGATTATTCTCCATCATCACCTACTTCATCTCTCGCATCATTTCAATCTCGCTCACCATCACCTACTTCATCTCTCATATCATTTCGGTCTCGCTCACCATCCGCAGCACCTGTTGTGCCTCCAGTGCAATCCCCAATTGGTGCGGATATCCCGCAACCCCAGGTCATGACATCACATCCAAAAATTACACTCAACTATCGCATTTCGTCGTCAGAGCCCAAAACAGGGCTCCTCAAGCACTTCAAAATTGTTTCACGTGAGGATTATCTTGCAGATATCCATCAGCGTGACCTTGTGTGTCAAGACAAACAGCATGACAACAATTTCTCGGCAGCACTCAACGAAGCTGAGCGGAAACACGAGAAAAGGCTCTATGACAGAGACCGCCAGCGTGCACATCATGCTCGTACAAAAGAGGTACGTCTGATGCTAATGTCGCTGATAAAATATGGATGTTGACCATGCTGGCAGTTAAAGCAGTCAGCAAAGCCTGTTGACAATGCTACTGATACATCATTGCTCCAACCGAGTCAGTCTCTTGCAGAGCTCACACGACCCCATTGTTCTATCAAAGAGGACCTTCGAACAAAGAAGCCATCAAACAGTGGTCGGAAACGAGTGCATGATCCTGTTGATGCCCAACGTGTTAACTGGCAGAGCCCCATCTTTTGGCCAACAATTCTCAGAGCAGCGAGTCTCAGTGCTGGCCCGTCAATGTCTCCCCATGCCATTTGTTATCATGCGTGACAACTTGATCCACGCTGTCAAGCTCTTACACCCCAAGTACTTGGTCGTTGGATTGACCGCGATGGGTCACATCCTAGGTGGAAAGACACTGTCATAGAATGTGCGAAGCGGGGCAATCTAGCATCAAGTACCATCACACGAACGAATATCCTCACACCCTATCCCAATGTCATCAAGAAAATTGTGCACCAAATACAAACTCTTCGTCAGGTTGGTGTCGCACTCAGCACTGCTCGTTGTCGGGGTATCATTGTTGGTATTCTCCATCACGAGTTGCCTAACATTTTCTCGACGGCAGCAAAAGATGGCTCCATGTTCAAATGCTCTGACTCATGGGTAAAGGCATTCCTGTACAATCACCTGCAGTATACCATCCGCCAAGGAACACGCGCAGCACAAAAGTTACCCCCAAATGTTGACGATGTCTGCCGACAGCAGTTTCTTCGACTCTCTCTGACAATCTGTGACGATGTCATCCCATATCCGGAGTTTCTGGTCAATATTGACCAGACTAATGTCATTTACCAGCCCGCAAAGGGCTGTACATATGAGCGCATTGGCTCAAAACAGGTGGCTATAGTTGGCCAGGAGGAAAAACGTGCTTTCACGCTCCTTGTTGGGATATCTGCAGCTGGCGATCTCCTCCCATTTAATATCGTTCATGACGGAAAATCGAAATGTTCGCTACCATCCCCCAATGTGCCATGTTACAACGAAGCACTCGAGTTAAAATTTCAGTTCGTGTTCTCAAACACGGACACATACTGGGCCACCTTTGAGACCATGTGTACATATGTCACTGGGATTCTCGTACCATTCTGGATCGAGAAGAAACAGCAGCGAGGGGTTCCACTCAATCAGCCATGCATTCTTCAGCTCGATTGTTGGTCAGTTCATCGCTCTGTTGCATTCCGAACGTGGCTCGATGTCAACTATGAATGGATCCGTTACCGGTTTGTCCCTGCAGGCACAACTGGTGTTGCACAGCCTTGCGATGTTGGCATCCAACGCCCCCTTAAGCTTGCTATCAAAGAATTACAACATGAAGACATTGTCGCGGAAACCTTGACTCAACTGACGGCTGGTAGGACTGCTGATGAAATTCGACTTGATGTCACAAAAGGAACACTCCATGATCGGTCCGTGCGCTGGGTTGTCGAGGCATACAAGCTCATCAACAAGCCTGACATTGTGCAAAAAGTATGTTCTATTCTCGCTGATCAATATTATCAAGTGCTGATGTGGAGGGCAGGCTTTCTCGCTCTGCAAGGCTGGTACTACTCCATTCAACCTCTCTTTTGAGAGCCTTGCAAGTGTTGAAGCACGCCGTGTGCTTCGTGACCTGCCCCAAACATATCCAGAGATGTGGCAGAGTATTCAGCCTCACCAAAAACAAGCTGATGATGGTGCAGAAGGTGATGCTGACACCAATTTGGATGAAGACCATGTTGCCGATGTTGATGAACAGCCTGGTGACGAGGCCCCGTTGTCGCTCCTGCTAGAGTTCATTGCATCAGGCAAGGATCGTGTACCTGACGGGTACATCACTGATGCAAATGGTTCGCTTCGCATTGATACAGCTGCTGACATGTTCGAAGAAGTTGTTGTCGCTGGAGAACCTGAGGTCTTTGGGAGAGGAAAGCGGAGGCGTCTTGCTAACAAGCAATACAATGCATATGAGCAGCATTAGTATAGGTTATAGGTCATATTTTCTACAAAAATTGCATACAAACATAATGTCACAAACTTAGGTTTGTCCACCCATTTTTTGTGTGACTGTCACAAAAAATAGGTTCAGTTCGTCAGGCTAGTGACGTTGTGACGAACCTAAGGTCGAAACGCTACAGTATATTGCTTTATATCACTTTATATTCCAATGTGACGAAAACCTTTCCTATATATTACGATATATAACGATATATGACGATATCTTCTTCTCACAGGTTCTCTGATGCGCCTACCTCTAATTCGTTCATCTATGTTGGTTTTCAGATGCAGTGTCAAATGTTGTCTCACTGCATCAAGCTTCGACCTCACCCTGCCAAGTTTGATCCACTCTCTATACCCTGCACCAACACGTCGAGCCCCAACCATGGCATGTCAGAAGCCTCGTTTAGGCTGCGTCAAGCAATACTCACACCACAACAAGTTCTCCCCCAAATATCTTCGCAGTCTCTGTACTAATATCAACATCCACACTCTATGCCGCGTCAAGGCCTACTACAGTGCCGCGTCAACCATAGCACATACCGCGTCAGTTGCCGCGTCAAACCTCCTCCATGCCGCATCAGTGCCGCGTCACAGGCGCGTCACGCCGCGTCAAACCTTGTCACTGCCGCGTCAAACCTCGTCACTGCCGTGTCACCCGCGCGTCACGCCGCGTCACTGCCGCGTCAAACCTCATTCATGCCGCGTCACGAGTAGCACATGCCGCGTCAGACCTCACCACCTCCACATGCCGTGTCAAACCTCACCACCTCAACTGTCACACTGTCCGTATAACTTAGGTATATTTACTTTACATCTGTCATAATAATTGATATTCTAACAGTGTTCCCTTTCGTCCTGACAGAATTAGACGTCGTACACTGTAATTGTCCAGAGGCAGTAATAAATTTATTTTACTAAGCATTCTTTCGTTGTCTCCTCTGGGCTCGAGAAACAACCCTTATTATCGCGCTTTTGTGAATCGTATCATGGCCTTTGTGAGTTCTTTAAAATACGGAGTAAACTTGTTATAACCATCTTTTAGCAATTAATCAAACATATATTCAACTTTTTCTATCCCAACGAGACCGAGAATCAAAATGATCCAGATCGGCCGGGTCCGCTGCTGAGTTTTGGGGACCTCATACCCTGCTATGACCGTTCAGGTGCGTCATCCGCCTGGTGCTTCCGGTCAAGTCGAAAAATGGCTTGGTGGCATGCCTTTGGTGCATGCTTTCACTCTCGTGGTTGCTCATCGAAAGGCCAGTGATTTTGAAAAACGCATCGAAGCTCGAAACGAAGAATGGAACGATAGCATGCTGTTGAAGATGGCTTGGGCTGATCACATGATAAGCTATCCTACCAATAGCTTCGTGGCTGATGTCGACCTCGAGTGTCTGACCGCACTAGAAGCAAGGATGTTCGAGGATTCCGAAGAAGCAGGACCTGCAGGCAACCAGCAGTGGGGTTTGGATGCTGGCCAACATCATAGGCGATGGAATGTGTATCTCGGAATTCCTGATGAATGGGTTTCTGCAAGAGATTATAGCGAGAGTGAACTTGAAGTGAGGAAGACATTACCTGCTCCGTTCGATAGATATCTAACTTATGTGATTGACAGCGCGGCCCCTTATTCAGTGATAACTCTGATGCTACATCTTTGGAGTCTGCAGACGAGCTATCCGAAGCTGTAGTTCCTTCTCTGCCGGCCGTAGAATGTCCGCCCGTTAAACGTCGATGTGCTCCACAGGCTCGAAGGGTCCAGAGAGGGAGGAAAAGAAAATAGTCATTGGCTTATGTACACCTAGTTGTACATGGCTCTGAGGCAACTAAAATAACAAAAGAATGGTCGTGAACTCATCCAACTTGACCTGGAAATTGAATGTAGAATATAGGAATGGCGCGTCAGTGGCCGCGTCAAGGATCGTTAGTGCCGCGTCAAGTGCCGCGTCACATGCGCGTCACGGCCGCGTCACGACCGCGGCAGGCGCGGCAGGACCGCATCAAAATAGCCACTCCCCGACAAACGCTATGGGCTATGTTGCCCCTTCTGTTTCAGTTGGAAGTTTGACTCGACACTTTTTTCGATAGGATACAACTCTAGTGTTAAGGATGTACATATGTTAACTGCAATCTCTTCACAGGATCAATGAGCCTCCGAGAAAAAGCGTCATGGCACTGATAACGAGTCACCTCTCCCCTGAAAAATGGGGACATCAGAAAATGACACTAGAGGTGAACAACAGATTTACCTAGGAGCATGAACTGCGACAACACTACTACCCAAACACTTGGAACAGCTTTGCACAAGTCATCAGACAACATCCATGCGGAAAGAAGACTGACTTGTTCATTCCGCGCTTTGTGAATATCATGGATGATGTGGCTGTCGAAAATCTGTGCTCATAATAAAGCTTCTTGAAGGAATGGGCGTACGTCAAGAGCGGTGACAAGGGGAGGGAGAAGTTGAAGAATTTCAAGGGAGTCTAAGCGAGGACAGTGTCGACTGAACAAGTCTAGAGCGGGGCGCAACGAGTTCGGTGCTGTTTCATCGGTGGGGCGGAGGTAGAGCTTGAGAAGAGTGTGACTTATTTTGAATTATACATCCGCCTGCAGTACCTATGACAGCGTCACCGAGGGATCGGGATCGAGAATATAGCAGAGAATAGACATACTCTTCGGCCTAACTTGTAAACATGGAGCTAAAGAGCATGGTCATGCCTTACCACACGGCCCGACAACACAGCTCGCGCTTGGTAAAGATCTGCAGGGTATAAGCTCAATATTCATGGGAGTATCAGTCTGGAACTGGCTCTTCAACAGTAAACCATGCAAGCGATCGATGAAACGAAGGGGCTTCGAGTGAACGTCCGACCCATTGACTAACGGAAATTTGGTGAGAACCGGCAAAAATCACGATTAACCTTTGTCTCCTCGTTTGCGAGCACTCAGCGTCATGTTCAGATAGATATCTGCCAGCCGATCATGGAATACGGGACTCTCTCCGCCTTTCTCATCGATTAGATACTCGATATAACAAGTAGACATGGTGGGGTCAATCTTCTCGAGGTAATCTGTTACTTGAGTTCGAGGGAGTTTAATGTCGTCAGATGTAGATATCTTGGGTGAGACAAACGATCGTCAGCAAGGAACTAGACAAATTATACACACAAGTGTCACCTCGAAAGCCGTATCACAGTCGTTTCCAAGATCCAGCGGGAAGACTCAAATACTCGGCGTCGACGTACTTGGGACCAAGTTTTGGCAGGTAAGGCAGGTAGGATATGACAGATCGAGCATTTTCTCTCATGTCCGCTTCCTTCTCGTTCGACCCTGGGCAAGGTCATTGGTTTGCAGGCGTGATCAAGTAAAAGACATCAATGCTCACTGATTATGAGCCTTAGCATGCATCTGCTTTCCATTGTAGAGATGTATCAGCTCTGCGAATGTCTGAGACAACTGGTAAATGCTACGTTTGAGTTGTGTACAGTTTGACGCACCTCTCGTGCCCGAAGCTCCTCTGATACCTCACTCCAATTGGCCAATTGACAAAGTGCACCGAGGAGGGCCGGTTGAGTCGCAAGATACTAAGACTTGACGAGCGCTGTGTCCACAATCTGTGCAAACCGCACAAGCCGCTCCGGAGTCGACAGAGGCAAAGGGATGTTTGGCAATGCAAACAATTATTCGGTCGAAGTCTCGGAGAGGAGAAGCCACTAGCGAGACTGAGCAGGTGCAATGTGTACTGCCGCGAGTCACCGCCTGCGAATTTGGGATGATGATAGGTAAGATATCACCATAGAGCGTCCACTGACCAGCTGAAGTCATCTAGAAAGTTTATTGACGTGACAAATCAACGAAGACAAGATGCCTGACTGACCTTTTTGTTTCATGGCTCGGCGTGCGTACGTGCCATTCGCAAAATATGCCCACTCGCCCACGATGCCCTGACTCCCCAGGCGGGCGCGGTGCAAATTTGAACACGTTTGCGTTGCTGCAGCGGGTCTGCCGCACGCTCCGTACCATTACCGGTGACAACGCGGCTGCTAGTACTGCTGGGCTTGCCAGGTCGAGGTCGGCCTCTCTTTGGCAAGCCGTCCGAGGTCAGGACGCCCGGAGTAAGGTTTGACACGCAATTTCGCGAAAGCAACAAGCAAGAGTCGATGCAGAAGATTTCGAGAAACTCAAGCAGGAGAGAATGATTCTCGTTGTGTACGTGTGTTTATCTTATCTCCTAGCGCGCACATGCTCGCCTTCAACCAATTGTCAAGTTGCCTAGAAACGCCATAGCTATCTTAAATGACCTGGTAAGACTAATCCCCGCATTCCTGACTTACTGTTTTCTTCATCTTTCTACAGCAACACCCAACGAGTATATCCGCGGCGCCACCCTACGTTTCCTTCTAGAAGATATCTAAAGGTGCTGAACTCCCTGCTGCGGCAGCTGTCTTGAGCACCGTCGCTCATCCGTTCGCAAGAACGCCGTATTCGCCGTGTACATTATCTACCACGAATACGAATACCTCATCCCAGATGCTCCTGAGCTTATGCAAACTTTCATCGCTGCAGAGTCTGACGCGACGTGCAAGCGTAACGCATTCGTGTTTCTCGCTCGCTCTGCGATACCGAAGGCTGTCGAGTGGGTGTACGATCAGCTGACAAGTCCGATAGACGAGCTCTTGCATATGAGCATCATAGAAGTTACCAGGCTGTATTGTAAGAATGATACGACCCATCGAGTGAGCCCTCTTCACTTTGAGTCATCTTGCTTCTCCTCCCTTTTGTCGTCTTGCAGTCGTGATACATCAGATGCGCGTTTGAGTTGTTGAACTCATCGTCGCACGCATCAAAGCATGACGCTGCTACCACACTCACCGCACTCACGCAGAACCCGGCTGCTGTGAAAGGTACGTTCACGATAAGGTCGCGTGCACATGTTTGCTCATCTTAGTCCTCAATAGCCGCATCGTGGTTGGTCTCGCAGTCCTCCACGTTGCTGTGGTCCAGGACTGATTTTGGGATAGGCCCTGGAGTCCAGGCAACTTCTCATCCAGTCGATCCACGTATTAGCGGTTAAGTTTTCTGAGGTGGCTGCAAGCGTCGTCCATGCACTCATGGAATTCCTCGGGGACTCGAACAACCCCTCTGCGCTGGACAACTCTCCCTTTGTCTGGTTTATTTTTTCCCTCCTGATTTCCGCATCTTATTTGACTAACATATGCACAGCGAAGTGGTCGAGAAGTTACCGCATCTCCGGCAAAGCTTCTCCAGTGCAAAATTTATTTTCTCTCTCTCTCCAATTAACGCTCCCTCTACGCTGAAGAATACACGTGCGCATAGACATCTGTGATAGGGAGAGTCCTAGAGCACGGTTGAATGTGGACGCGGCTTTTCGAACAGCGCCGCTCATTTTCATTGCAGTTTCGAGGAGTAGTCGATCGGTTAGCTTGGTATCCGCTTCCTTGCACTATCTTATATGTGCGGTCTGCATCCTCCCTCGCAGATATCAGGTATTTGGCATCATCTGTGTTCGCGTCCAACTAACATCCCGAATCGGATGTGTGCAGCATGGAAGTTCATTTCCGCGAGATTATAGACCTCGTATGTACCTTCACTCATCTAATCGAACTGAGCTAATCTATTCGGACCCCCAGCCTGGAGCCGACACACACAGTGCCGTCCCTAACTCCTCGCTCATTGTCGCATGCACAGCGACCAAATTCAATACCTCTCGGCACACCCTTAACTCACGACCGGTTTCGTACACCGAGGTCCAGACGGTTCTCCAGGGGCGTGGAATCGACCTCACGCACAAGTGTCTCATTATCCTGCAGGGTGAAGTCAAGTCTATCGCGCAGATGAAGCCTGAAGGCACTTCTGAGCACCACGACGGACTACTCGAGTGCCTAGAGGATATCATCGGTACTGCTGTGCTCAAAGCACCGATGTCTGCTTTTGTCGAAGTGGTTCGGCTGGGAGAGAAGAGAGCCGAGAATGCAGCCAGGTCGAGGATCATCGAGGAGGATAAGGAGAAGGCGAAGTTGGATGCAGAGAGCAAGGAGGTGCTGGCATGGCTGGAGCTTGAGAACGAGCATGTGAGGGCTCTCAGCCGGCTGTGGAAGTATTATCTGTGGGGGGTTTTGGAGAATGACGAGCAATTTGCAGCGCAGGTTGTGAGTGCTTGATTTTTCCTGTTGTTTGTGGTGTTGATATGATATGTAGGGCAGAAACATGTGGAGAAGGAGCTTGAAGACGAGAGGGAGGATGATATCACGCATGTGTGAACTGCTCGAGAAGCACTACAAGGAGTGCGAGACGACTTACGAGGTATGCGCATGCGTTTCTGTTTCCTGTTCCGCACTGATGTAACCTTCCAGGATGTGAAAGCAGCAGCTGAGGAAGTAGCGAAGGATAATGCGGCGCGCGAAAACCATCCGTGAGTCTTTAGGGACGCCGGATGCATGCAAGCGCGAAGGCGACAAAGCTGAAAAGCTGAAGAAGGCGTTGGCAGACGTGAGTTTTCTCATCCATTTCTGCTGCTGTGCCTGCTTTTTAAGCCGATAACACAATCCAGGATACCGATAGCAAGATCAAGACGAAGAAGCACGAAATTGCGAAGCACGAGATGAACTTGGAGAAGGAAGAGAAGGTGTTCGAAGGGATGCTTGAAGGGTACGTCCATGCCAATCCCACTACGATTCATACTACTCTTATCATTGACTAATAGACAAAACGCAAGTCTTCTCCGCACATATTGAAGCGAAGCAGAAAGAACTACAGCCGTGGACTGCCAAGATCAATGTCAAGCAGACCGCGATTGACGTAGCAAGCTCTGAACAGGATGTGCTTGCGAAAATCTGACTCAGTGAGCAGAATTTCGGCCCTTCTAACCAGGCGTTCCTGTTTCGGGGTTAGACTTGGGTGGGACACCCCTCTGTATCTCACCCCGTCTGCGCTTCCATGTCGTTTCTTAGAGACCGTGGTCCAAGGACCGTGCTAGTCGTCACCAGCATCCTTCAGACGTATCCCCTTGTGAACTTCCACAGTCCCCAGGGATCTCAAAAGTAGCTCTATTCTTACTATTAGTAACGTCCCTACTAACAGGCGCTACTAGTTCTTCCGACCCCATGCGTTCAGCCATCGCACCCCGGAGGGGTTGCTCTCTGCAATCTCGTCCCTTGGATGGGCAGGTGTCTCCCCGAATGCTCCAGGCATCGGGGGATATGCGCCATCAGCACGTCGCTGTACGAGCGCGCGAGCTTTCCGGCGGAGGTCGCAGGAGACCCAACACGAGGTGGCAAGTCTCCCGGGGCAGAGGCTAACGATGAAAGTGCAGACTCACTATTAGTTCTAAGAGGGGTCGCCTCTTTCCTCTAGGTATCGTTGCTTCGCCCGGTAATAGTCTGGCGTCCACGCGTAGGACGCAACGGGTACCGAGGGATGCGAGAGATGGTGGTGGTCTTCAAGGTGGTAGTCTTTGAAGGCATGTCGAATGTTGTTGGTTGCCTAGATTGGGAACGACTGGTGGATCGGACCGGAGTTCTTGGTCTAGGGCAAGAATAGATAGGTAGATGGTATAGAGTTAAGCTTTTTGAAGGTCAAAAAAGATGTGACAAATGCGAGAAGCTACTGCTTTCGGATGCGGCACAGGAGTGAATTCAGAGTCTCAGACGCTTGAATAGTCACAAGCGACGATCACGTGACTCCTCACAGAGATTTTATTTTTTGAACGTGTTTTAAATTTAACCCACCCGATCGCATGGCACAAAGACACGCCTCCTTGTACTTCTTTGATGGCAACATCGCGCTTATGGCCCCAAATAATTTCGGCGAAAAAACTGTCTTCCGAGTCCATCAATCAATCCTATCACATTATTCCAGCGTCTTTGCGGACATGTTGACGATGCCGCCTGTTCGGGAAGCCGAGACATATGATGACGTTCCACTAGTATACTTGCCCGACAACGCTGAGGAGATTGAATCCTTATTGAAAACTATATACCTTCCGCGGTGAGAGTATACCTCTCTGCTGCGCGTTCATTGCTCATCAGGCTTTTCCCGCTAGGTCCCCCCCGTTATACCCACGCCTGACCCGATGCGCACCTCGCATAATTTACCACCTCTTGAATCTCTCTAACAAATATGAGATGAACGAGCTTCGCCATGACGTTGTTCTACAGTTGGAAGCAGATTGGCCAACCTCGCTAGCTCGGTGGGATCAACTAGAAGGTGAAATCGCTGGATTAGCCGACCCCGACGGTGATTCTATGCGCTATTTGTTCCCCGAGGATCCACTTCCAGATCCCGCCTCCGCTATTCAATTGGCATCCGAATGTCGGGTTCCCACAATATTGCCTGCCGCCTTCTATCATCTTTCGCGGCTCTCCATTCGTTGCCAGCCTGATAACCCCTCTAGATGCAAGCCATGGCGCCGCACCGCGGATTGGGGTCTCCTCACAGCGGGAGATCTCCGGCGCCTCCTTCTAGGCAGAGAGGGTCTTCTGCAAGTCGCTGATTCCATGCTCGCGACCGGTGCTAGTGATGTTGACAGTCAGATACATTGGGTGGTGGATAGATGTAGGGGATCCGAACGAATGGAAGTTATGGATAAAATACGCGAAGAATGCCAGAGTGCTCCAGATATCCTCGCGACTCTTCGCGGGCGTACTACAACAGAAGACCTCCTAACTTGTCAGATTTGTCGCCGCAGGATCAGAGACAGGCTAAAACAAGTTCGCCATGCAATATGGACCAAGTTACCCAAATTGTTTCAACTGGAGGATTGATTAAACTTCCGGTCGCACATGGAGACTATTACTGGGAAGAAACCATTTTGGATCGACATTTTGGTGATGTTTACAACAGTGTATGCGGATCGTGCACTGTACAATATTTAAGCACGAGATACCGCCGACTCGGGCGCAATTGTGTCTACCACGTCATGCTGTGTCGCTGCACGTTGATAGTTTGGTCTCCTTTGTGTTTCCTATTTGCTCTTCTTTCATTCACTACTATGGCGACGTCTATGGCGCTGGATCAGTTCAAAAATGTACACACAGGAAAGTCACACACACACACGCATACGACACACACACAGTAGTTAAACACACACATGTATTGTAGTATTGTAATATATTCAGTACTACAGGCGCATTTCCGGCAAAATCTCACTTGTATTGAAGAAAATTGAACACTTCTGATGACCGAAAGCAAAGCGGCCAAAGTTTCGAGTCTCCCTGGCCTATGAGATCAGCGCGCTGATGGCAGGTCCAGCGGTGAAGCGAACGCGAACATCTTGTGCTTTAATGGCGGTGGTACTGGTACTGGCTCGTGTTTTGGGATACCTGGTGAAGACGAAGCTGAAACGATGTGAGCCGTACAATCCTTCATACCTGGGGGCGTTGGAGGAGATGCTGTTGATGCTGTTGATGTCGATGTTGAATAACCTGGTGATGGCGTGTCCGGCAATGTGGGTGGTGTGATGTAGGAAGAATTGGGTGGAGGGAAAGCTGGCTTTGGTGGCGAAGGATAATGATGACCATATGTGGGTGTAGGTGCCAAAGCGGCTGGAGGAGGTGGGAAGGGATTCGTAGTAGGAGGAGGGGTTGTCTTAGATGATGAGGGAAGAATATAAGTACACCTCGCGCTCCATCTGGTTAATTTCGCACAATTGGAACATGCTGATGCAAAATCGGTGTACATACCCTCTTTGTGGCTGACGAGAATGTAAGACCACGCTTCTTGAGCCAGGAGACGGACACGGCTAAGAGCAAGTTGGCGAAAAATTCAATGAGATTTTCATTGACAATGCCATCGGATGCAACGATGAAGGCGAGGATGTGTGAGATAAACTGATAAACTGATTTTTTCAAATAAACCAACCAGCATTTAATGAAGAATAAGTTGGCGGGATAGGAATTAAAATAAGAGTATAATAGTAGTATGGGCTCAGGATGAAGGATTAAAACGAGTGAGGAAGATTAAAGGGCAAATGACATAGGATTCAAAGGAGTGAGGGGAATTAAATGGGATGATGAGATGTTCACACAAATTAAAGCCAAAGTTTGATAGAGCCAATGAAGTAGTCCGTCGTCCAGGGGTTGTGGAACGGACGTGACAATGGATCATTGACATCTGGGTGGCCGCGCAACAGGTCATTCAGTGTAGGTTGGACCGAAACGAGAGGCTGGAAGAGTGGCCGATTAGGTAGGGGCATTGCGGACACATGAGTCTGAGCCTTTGCGAAGTCTTGCAGGTCGATATCCTGGTGTTCTTCGTCCTTGATCAATGGCATCATTGGATTATGGCGTGGAGCACGTTTCTGAGTCAGTGGTGAGATTGACATCCCATTCAGACTAGCTGGAAGGGCGTTGAGACTGTTGTCCGTATCAGAGTCACTTGAACAGAAAACTGTAAATTCCAAGTGTTAGACATTTGACTTCTGCCAGAAAATAAAAACTCGACACTTACGTTCAACTTTGCCTGAGGATCTTCCCGACTTGTTCCCCGTTTTCGATGCAATGGGCCGTCCATGAGCTGATTTTAAATATTATGTGTCAGTAGTGTTCCCATACAATTAAATGGTAGTACTTACTTCCACGCATTTTCTTCTGGGCTGGTTCTTGACGGGTTCCACGTTGCATTGGGCGTTTTGGACGCACTGAAGTAAGTAACACAATGAATTTTAAACACAGCGCTGCGCTCGAGAGTGTGCACGTGAGACTAACCAATCTTTGGAACTTGAGTGAATACATCGTCTTCGATTTTAAGCCCCGGGCCATACTCTTGTTTATGGTCGTTGTCATCGCCGTCGTCACCGTCATCGCTGTCATCAGCTATATCGATAATGACCATGTCTGGGTCCCAGCGTGCATAAGTATGCTCAGGTATGAATTTCCGGATACCTATCATTGTGCATACACTGATTAGAAAATTTAGGACGAATTTATTAATGACTCACCGATAAAAATATTTGTCTGTTGAAGTGGGGCATTGCTTCTGCCTTTGTACCGTTCGAGATGTTTGCCAGTTGGGAAGGGCTCAGGTGCGACACTCAGCCTGCGGTTCTCTTTTGAAATTAACACCCATTCAGATGCCCCATTGTCTGTAGCCTTCCCCTTTACATCACCAACCTTTACAGAGTCGAGGTATTCAAAGACTTTTGGAAATAGTCTTCGAATGTAAGCATCAACTTCCTCAAATGTCCAGTCCAAGCAAAAGCTGAAATCCACACTGCCGCCGTCCTCAGACTGATCTCCATCAAAGTGAGCACATCCCCTTCGCTTGAACTTTGACATCTCTGTCTTGACAGGCGGAATTGTGGTCAACAACTCTCCTTTGTCCTTTCAGTCACCGGTAAGCTCATACTAGCCATAGCTTGTTCGAACTAACATACATCAAGGTAATTGACCAAGACGGCAATGGCACCAACTTTGATCAGGACATGACCTTGCTTTGAAGAGCTGGCCTGTCTCAAGGATACAATCCTGCCCTAGGCAATACCAGTCATTTCGAACACGCAAAAGTTAGGTAAATTACTCACTGGGAATTTCTGCTTTGCAGTTGGGTGAAATCCTGCCATCACCTCATCTCTCGCAGCCGTCACAGTAGTTGTATTCTGACTACCTTGTCCAGCTTGTCGAGCGAGCGATTGCTTGAATATAGCTGTCACTCCAGCTCGTTCCTTTGCAGTAGTGACTGCTGGTAGCTCAGCCACTGGCAGTACAGGTGGTTGAGGTCGCAGATGTTTGCTCTTCCCATGCAAACATTCAGCGCAAAGCTCTTTTTGGCCAACTGGAATATTGGTGGGTGCCGAGTACTCTTCACAATAGCAGGGTACTGATTCATCAGGATTGCCCTTGCAAAATGCTGGCTTCGGCATTCTAAGTGAGATGGAGGAGAGGACCGGAACACAAATTAGTCGGCGAGGTGCGGAATTTGTATACAATGGTCCTGGGTCCCTCCGAATTTTGTAAAGTACTACTTAAGCGACTCAAAAAAATTCATTTGCTTCAAAGTGATCAAGAACGCTAGATGCCTGAGCCCATAATGTTGAGCGAGTTCTCCAGATAGGGTCAGCCAATGATATCTCCATGTGATGCTCCCTCCGCCTTCCAACTCGTAGGTATTCACTTGCGTTTTCGTCATACTCATCTTCACCCTCCCATAAATTGTATCCCTCCGGTACAATACCCTCCATGACAACCGCCTCAAGTATTTCGAAGAACATACTTTCATCCTCTTCGTTCCGAAAAGGAGTATTGCTGTCTGGAACCTCTACAGCATCATGCTGGACATCATTTGCTTGTTCCTGCTCAATGCGGTCAATAATATCATCTTCGGCTGGTTCATCTGCCTCGTCACTTGGGTGGCCAGCACCTGTCTGATTTCGATGACGGACAACCTCCCGGCCATGAATACCATAATAGCGCTGCAGAACTGTAGGACAGATACCCTCGAACTCGTCTTCATAGATACCTAATGATGCCTGTCCTAGAAGGCGCATATCCTTCATAGTTATGAGATAACAATTCTGCACTACTGAATATTCACTGACCTGAGGGCTTCGATCCCTGGTATCAGAACCATGAATAGGATGCAAATTCCATTCTTGTTGAAATTGTCGACAATCATCATTGAGCACATTTAAGAAGAGCACACTGAGGAGCCACAGATGCCCAGGCTTGTCAACATCGAGTTTATGAAGTCGTTCGAGCCTGGTAAAGAATCCCCGCCACCGGCGTACAAACTGTGTGCCTACTTCAACCCACAATCGTTCGATGCGAGAATTCCGTGTTGATCTAACATGCATTATTATTCAAGTAAATTTCTAGAGGACTCCACTTACGATCCCCATAGGAACGAGCCACGATTGTGACCATTTGTCGCAATCATGTGTGTGGCAACCTGAATATTCTCGCCGCCACGATCTCCACGAATACGAGATGGGATGCCATATTCATCCTTTGCGTAGATGAATAAATCCAACACAGTTGATGCACAATTATTTGTGCTGACTCGTAGTGCTGTTATCTGTTGGTGCATAAGGTGTATTGTCACTTTTATAAATTAATTGACTTACAGTGCGACAATACCCGTCAATGAAACCATGGATGACAAAGCCCCATCGAATGAGCTTGTGATGACCATCTACATGCCATAGTGCATTTGGTCGAGCGACTCGGTATTTTCATCTTCTGGTAACACGTCGTTCTCTCAGCCTTTGTCCCAGCCTGTCAACTCTGCGCAGGGACTGCCAAATGTGATGCTGCTGAACTCGAAAACCTTGGCATTGAAGGAAGCCAACAAGGTACCGGAATCCTGATTCTGGTTTACTTTCTTTGAAAGTCCTCACAAGTTGATCGAGATCAGCATCACTAATTACTGTAAAGTGTTTTTCTAGGCCATGTTGACGAATAAATTTCCACAGAGTAGTGCGGGACACTTGGAGGATTCGTGCGAGATCTGGCAGCATGATGTGGTGTTGGTTAGATAGGGCTTTACTGACGAAATCGAAGTTAATGATTTTCTTCCGACGCCCAAGTCGACATTGCTGATGGCCCAGAGTCACAAGCTCCGGGATTATCACATTTGCCCGTTCAGCATTTCCCCTGGATTGAAGTATATTTAGATAGCAGAGTGTCAGGCAAGTGAAAGACTTACACATGAAGATTTCCGCTGATATCCTTGAGCATTGTGGCTACCTCCCCAATAAGCCTAGCACATACTAGTAGCCAGTCATGCAGAAGCTGGTAATCAGCAGGACTTGTATCACTTTCAATGGCTTCGAGCAAAGGTAGGGCCTCTGTGGACAGTGCATCATAGTGGTACGCCACTCTGGTTGGTTTTGCGTCATTTGACCGAAGTATTCTAATTGCAGCATTGTATATATTGCTGATGATACCCTCCGCAGTATAGACATTTTGTGGCCATCGATTCTCGTGTTCTGGTAGAGCTGGAAGATCCATAGTTGGTGAATAGAGGTGATAAAGCGGTACACTACATTTACGTTCTTTGTGCTCCGACTTGAATTCAAACTTCAATTGCAGATCATCATGTTTGGGGCCCCAAGTCTTCTTAGGTTTCGACACCGCCGTTTCTATATACTCGATGGTACTCATATTTTCTTGGTCAGATGTTTTCATTTGACAATACTGTAGACTAATGGTCAAAATGCAGGTTGAAAATGCATTGTTCAAGGTCCATGCAACTCAATTATCATGCGCATCCATTGTGTTTGAGGAGATGTTTTCTGTTGGAAGTCAATTGCCGCTGACAGTAGGCATGGAAGGCTCAAGCGATGATCATCCAATTATCATTCCCGAACTCAGCATGAATATGTTCGAACTGTTCCTCTCAGTTGCATACAACAAGTAAGACAGTTCTTGAGGTACTGCATTTATTCTAAATGTAGGACTACGCAGTTGGAAACCCGAAGGTCCCACTCATGATGATGTCCTCGACCTTCTTCGTTTCAGCAACAAGTTCATGAGTCAAAAGGCTCGTGATGTCGCCATCAATCACCTCCATGAACGTCGATTTCAACACAAACCATACGAACTTCTCGCACTCTGCCTCGAATTTTCAATTTCAAAGTTCTTTGTTCCCGCTTTTCGCCGTCTCGTCGAATTTCGCATCCATGATATTCCAGGACCAGTGCGAAGGAGACTTGGGTTTGAAGTCTGGAATGCCTTCGTAGATCTAAAAGAACTTCTCGATGAGCATAACCGTATTGTTGCCTGCGAGGAGCCACCCATTGTCACGCATTCACCATACTGCACTGACAACACCGCATGTTTCATTGATTGGCGGCAACTATGGTGGAACTCAATGGCTCGTTTCCTCCTTGATGGCCGCAATCCTCAAAAATTCCATGAAGCTATCGAGCGCTTCCAGGAACTTGGGCCAGAAATTGGAAGGGTCAATCTGGAGTGCTGGAAAATGCTGCTTCAGACGGTGAAGAATGCAACAGCATTCTGTCTCGCTTTTGATCTTGTCGAGGAGACAGCTCAGCAGTTGTCGGCGGCCCTGATCACGGAGCCTGCCCCAATGTTGACAAAAGCCGAATTGGATACCTTGGGCTTGCCAAGCCATGAAGAAATTTTATAAACGGGACAGATATCCTCCGAGTCAATTCCTCGATCGTCATCTGATGACTTGGTTGGCGAGTCTGGTGAGACTCGGATATTTGCCAGGGCTGCAGCGGCCCAATGATTCAAGCCAGTTTAGTTAGAACAATTGACTTAAAAATGCACCTGTAGTACTGAATGTGTTGCAATACTACAGTACATGTGTGTTGAACTACTGTGTGTGTGTCGTATGCGTGTGTGTGTGTGACTTAAGTGTGTGTACATTTTTGAACTGATCCAGCGCCATAGACGTCTGCTTCATTTCATGGAGTTGTTGCAAATCGTAGCGGTGCTGGAAAGCGCCAGTCCCTGACTCCAAGAAATTACGATGGATTGACAGCAAACAGTATCAATATATACAACATTCGAGTATGTACAGCAATCAAAACACTCAAAAATGACTTCTTTTGAAACAGGCATTGGCCACTCCCGCTCTCGTTCTGTGCGAATACTATTCACATCTGCTAGTGCATTCTGTTTTCGTTCTAGATGGGCTGATTTGATCTTGACAGAGTGTGACACAATTTCTTGTGACAGACATTCAGTAACAAGCACACCAAACTCATGACACATCGGGGTGAACAATATTTAAAAGAGGTTTATATGTTGTACAAAATGTGAAGACAATATTTAAGATTTAAACTAACATAAAGATGGGTGCACGACTTCAAATTTTGGTGGTGTTTTGTGTGTAATCCAAAATATCAAATATTCACAACCATATTCCCACAGACAATATGTCAACAAACATAAGAAATATAGTCAGATTTTTCATGTCTGCTTCAACTTAAAGTTCAATTTCCATGTAAAACTTTGGAGAAAACTTGAAGTTTTACAGATGACATGACATTAAAACTCGATTTAAATGTCAAGCTTTGGCAAAACTTCAAGTTTTCTCCAAAGTTTTATGTAAGAATCAAACTTTAAATTGAAGCAGACATGGAAAATCTGATTATATTTATTATATTTGTTGACATATTGTCTGTGGGAATATGGTTGTGAATATTTGATATTTTGGATGACACACAAAACACCACCAAAATTTGAAGTCGTGCACCCATCTTTATGTTAGTTTAAATATCAAATATTGTTTTCACATTTTGTACAACATATAAACCTCTTTTAAATATCGTTCACCCCGATGTGAAGCTATCTCATTTCTAAACCTGTCACGCATAACTCACCCCAAGCTACTCCATATGTAGCGCGTGTGATATTTGGATGAACTCTGTGTCGTGTACGTGCAATATATGACTGATTTTTACCAGACATCAGAATCATTTCCCCACTAAACAACAAATTTGCAACCTTTATGGCACAAATTCATTATTTATCCACAAAACCCCAATTATAGCCAGAGTTCTGGGAACAAACCGGGTCTTCAACATAATTTTCGCACAATATTGGTCATTGATAGACCGGCAACTGGTGGTGTAGGCTTTCCATACATCAACTTCTCACAACCGTTGGTTGTGGACAGTAAGCCGAAGGCAATTTCCGCTGCGCGCTGCGTGGGGCTAAAATCTCGTTTCCGCAGTGATTGAAATGCTGTGATTTTTTCACATATTGTCGTTGCTTGCTCGCAGTAAATGCCAAAAGTTACATGTCTATCCTTAACACTAGAGTTGTATTATCCTATCGCAAAAAGTGTCGAGTCAAACTTCCAACTGAAACAGAAGGGGCAACATAGCCCATAGCTTTTGTCGCACCCCCCTCAGCTGGGTCTTGATGATACGAGAACATATTTTACACATTGGTGACAACAGTGACTCTATCGTCAAGTACTGACGAAGAGTCGAGAGAACGTCCGACGTGCGCTTACACTCCCAACGAATTTGCTCCACCATCTCCGACCTTCTGCATCCCCTACAGTCTTCTTCCATCCAATGGGTCTTCACAGTTTCATCACCGCAACAATCCGGTATTAACATTGAAGCGGCAACCATCGACAGACCTTCCTTTCCCATAATCAGGCAGATCAAGTCGGCTGCTGTGAGAAGGTTCCAGTCGGCGGTGCGTTGTCGCAGCGAATCTTTTGGGACATGGAGCGGGCGGCCAATGGAGAGACGAGATAGATGGTAGAAAGCAGCGGGCATTATGCTTGGAATATGGAATTCTCTGCCCAGCTTTATCGCCAAAGCAGGTTCTGGCAGGCTGTCATCAAGGTCAAGTGGTATAGGGTCGCAATCTTGATCCCATGCCATGACTGCTATTTCGCTTTCAAGTCGATCCCACTGCGATAGCGACGTCGGCCATTGAGTCTCCAACAGCTGAACAACCGCTTGGCGAAGTTCGCTCATCTCGTATTTGTTCGATAGCTTCAGAACATGGCGCACTATCGGAGGCACATGTCTACTCAGGCGTTGAGATAGTACCAGAGGACTAAGTTAGAAAGGTGGCACAAATCAATAGCTGAATATGTTGGAGAAAGCTTACTTACGACTGAATATACATCAACTTGAACACAGACTCGATCTCCTCGGCATCGTCAGTGAGGCGCACTAGTCGAATGCCATCGTACATTTGTACTTCATCCCTGACAGGGGTTTTCAACATATTTGCAAAGATGGGTGAATGATTGGACAGCATTGATTGGTGGACCCGAAATACGGTCGTTCCGCCAGACTTAGTTGGGGCCGTGAGGACAATGTTACCGTCGAATAGGTACAGGGAATCATGCTTTTGTGGTAAACATGAATGTTCGGATTCACGATGTCCGAGCTGGGTGAGGGATTGGATCTGATTGGAAAGGAGTGGCATAGGCGAGATAACTTGACTTGACTAACTACTATACCAGCACCTGATGTGACAACCCATACCGTTCTAGATTCTCACGGTCTCGGATATGCGATTAACGCGGTAGTACTATATATGTACTTTCCAGAGATGTCAAAAGCCGAACGATTGTTGGGAAACTGGTCCCCCAACAATCCACGTCCTAGCCTGGTCTCCCATCTCCCCCAAGTTCCCCACCCGCTTCAACTGCAAACACCGACACTACAAATACTTCTTCACCTCTCTGACCACGGACTCACATATCCCCCATGCAATCAGTTGCAAACCGTCTCGTCAGCGAGCACGACTTTCACAATTTATGCAAGCTAGATCCAGGAAAACAAATCATCAACTATCACCGCTGCGTCCTCTGATCGATAACATGCTCTTCTCGAACATCTCTCAAACCTTGTACCAACTCTCCCATCGTCCCCGGCTCCTCTCCTCGTACGAAACTTCCTCCACAAACGGCAGCCACAAGCTGCACATACAGCTTATCTACGAAATTTGCTGCATGTAGCCGAGTATTGTTGCGAGCTTTCAGAGAGAGTCCTGGGCGTTATCGTGGATCAGGCTTTGATGATCGATGTGAGTGTGCTCTTTTCTCCGGACGGTTTAATTTCAATTGCGCGTAGGGATTCAAGTAGAGCTTGAAGACACCTAACCTACGGACGGCGAACTTTTCGAGTCACCGTACCCTGTGTTTTCCGGTGTAGCACCTGGTAGCGTTGGCCCATAGGAGTTGCATGCTTTTCCCTTTTCGACCCCTTCAAACTACCGCGCTCAGGCGAGTACATACACCCTCTCAAGGTACAACCAAACGCCTTACCTGAAGTGGTTAGTCTGTCAGAACTCCTTTGATTCTTTGGAGATGCGTTCGCAGCTTTCCACCAACCTCAAGAGTGCAAGTTCGATACCCCCTGCAGGATGCATCACCGTTTCAAGCGCCAGGAAGTCCCTTTTCTCAGGAGTTATCAATGAAAGGTCGTAGATCTGTACGTGCCCATCTCCTTCTTTGATATCTACTCACCTCTATCCAGAGACGCCATCGACACCCTCCTGACCCGCCAAATGACCGGCGGTTCCTTGACCTGGCGTGCATTTCCGCAATTCTAGAACCAGCCACCTCCACAGGACCCCCTCAAGAGAATATTGGATGTAGGCTGCGAGAGCAGTGTATGGGTATTAATTGAGGCTGCCAAGCACTGGAAAGGCTGCGAAGTCGTCGGTGGTCGGTCCTGCCCTTGCCACTTGCGAGAAGCACTTGCAGGCTTCGATATCTTATCTCTCCTCACCGACCTTGCACGTCTCCTCCAGAAACATGGACCTTATGAGAAAAGTAAGCTGGGTTTCGAGGCAATTAATGTATTCACCCATCCATTCTGTATCCTCATCATTGACTCCCATAGCCTCGAGGGTCTTCCATTCGCGAACGAATCGTTCGATTTCGTACACATCAAGCGTATCGCTCGAGGCGTACCGGAAGACCATGCGCAAACTTCAACTACCCCTCCAACGACCAGTACGACTCCAACAATGACCTCCATGACATCTGTCGCAACTACAGTACCCATCACCATCATGTTTGTCCCTTCCAAAAGCACCGTGCTTCTGCACTCTCCTTGGGATCGCATCCGCATGCGTGTAGGACCTACTACTTCCCCTTGTCGCAGTCCTCCAGTCGTCGAGGTTCCTGCATTAGATGACAACAAGGTATGTCTTTTTGGGGATGTATCCTCAATTGCGGTGTCTCAAGTTCTATCTACAGGCACTATATACTACTTGGCGACCTGATTGAGCTAGCGACAAGGAGAAACACAACAAGAACCCTATTAACCGGACTTTTACTTGCGTGGTGCTTCTGCAGGACTGCCCACTCGAAGAGCACACGAGTGCATATGCAAGCTAGATCCAGGAAAATAAATCACCAACTATCGCCGCTGCGTCCTATGATCGATAACATGCTCTTCTCGAACATCTCTTAAACCTTGTACCAGCTCTCCGGCTCCTCTTCGTATGAAACTCCTCTACAAACGGTAGCCACAAGCTGCACATACAGCTTATATACGAAATTTGCTGCATGTAGCCGAGTATTGTTGCGAGCATTCTGGAAAATTTTGTCATCCCACCCTTCCCCATTGACTGGGAACTTAGCGCGCTAGGAGTCATGACCGCGGTGGATCTTACTGCTCACTTGGCATGCGGCTCTTTTCAGAGGCGTGAAGCAGATTCGTCTTACGCCCCATCGGAATCAGAGGAGGATCATAGCTCCGTGGCTAGGGTAGATGACTCCAATCCTCAACCTGCCAGTGCGAGCACCCTCAAAGAGTCCTCGCATTCCCTCCCATCACGTGTTCAGAACGATTATGGTGGGTTCCACCGTGACACCCGCGGCGAGTACCAGCAGCGCACCGTTGAAGACTGCCGCGGCCAGCAAGTCTAAGCTTCCGAAGGCCAAGACGAAGAAACCTCACCGCAGCAGAGGTCTCAACAAGCGCGCAAAACATTAGCGCGTTTTGGGGATTTTATCAAGAGGGAAACGGGGACGTTCATTGGCGCAGGTTCATATCGACTTTCACTATCGCACTTTTCGTTTCGTGCTTTTCGTTTCGCGCTTTCGCTTCACAGTTCCAATAACATCAAATCATGATCATGTCCCGAGCTATTGTAAGCCTGGTGGCTCACGTACGCATACACATGGTTCATTGCACCGTAGACACCTCTTTTCCTTAGCTTGTACCTTACCGTCGTCCCGCAATCCAGAACGTGCTTCTGTTTTGTTTCGTGTGTTTCTTCCAGATAGGTCGTCAGCTCTCACTCCACCGTTCTGTCACTGCAGTCTGTTCGCGTTCTAGAAGCCTCAACCTCGCTTTGCACGGCCCGGTGTGTCCCATGCACCTACTACACTTCGTTTTGTAGGTTCGCCTCATACCCACAGCACCTCCTGTACTACGTAGGTTCTGGATTCATGGGATGTTATGGTAGGTTTATGTTTGTCTATCTATCAAGTATTCACACTGTTCGGATAGTCTTTGTGCAATGCAAGTTAACTCGCTATAGACTCCACCATGGTTCTGACTGACCCGCTCAATACTCGTAAGGGGTGAACCGACGGATTTCATACATGTTATTTAGCCGTACATAGCTGGACCACCATAGCAAATGGTCGCCAATAAGTGTGAATAAAGGCGGATTGTTTCGTTCATTGTTTACTCAAGTTGTTGCATGATGTCCAGGCCTTTGCAATGCAGTGCGTCATCATCGAATCGGCCCAGGACCAAAACTGGCCATCATCAATGGAATCGTGAGACCTGTCCCAGCAACAAGGGCCAGCCCGCATACGATCCTTGCAGATAACGCTAGCCCGAATTCACCTGTGAAGATTCCTGCGAGAAACCCGAGAACAGTAAATGCCAAGCTGTAATGGTCTACAATGTGAGTAATTAGTGATTGCGATCAAAGCTTTGCTTACCTTGTGAGATACAGAAAACTGGGTATGCTTGCAAGGACCGCAAGACTCGCCATCTTCCCCTGTAAGTAATACGCCTATTGAGTTAGTAACGTCAGGCCGAGATTTTTTTTGGATAGATAAAGTGGTCCGAACCGCGAAATCAAGGGATCTCAGCCTGTAGCCAAAGTGCTGTGCCATCGTGCAGGCAACAATGCAGTAGACACTGAGGATAAATGAGATAGAGCACAGCGTTTTTGTAGCGGATGGTGAGCCCAAACCCGGAACCGCAAGGATGCTGGCGTTGACTGCCAAGATGACGCTTGCCTGTCAAAGGTAAGTGTTCTCGTCTAGGTCCACGACATAACGCTCACCACGGTAGTTTGAGCTTTGGACTGGGCGTTGAAGTCGTCCGTAAATCCCCTGATGTCGATCCCGTTTACGATACCGTCAACATAAATATCTCTGAGCTGCTTGAGCACCACTATTGGAGTCCAAAGCATCACGATGCCAGCGCTAGTCATGAAGGGGGAATTCGCCAGGTTGTTGCGTCTCTTTGTCAGTGAGTGCGTTCGCATTAAGCGAGCTTCGGGTCGACCATGATGGTTCAGGTATTCATGGTGACCTATTTTTGATCAATTAATCAACGACGTCGGGTATGGGAAAGCTAAGTCGTACGAAGCATGTGCATTATTTTGCCTGTTTACGATGAGTTCGTAATCATGGCGTTTCCAAAGCTCACGTACCACAGATTGCAACACTCGGTTCCTCCATGATCCCGGCAGGTCCGGCAAGTTCCTCTGTTTCGGTCACTGACTTGCACAGGGTTTGAGATCAGGATACGTACCGGTAGTGGCCAGCTCAGCAGTCATCTCCTTCATTTGATCGAGAGTCCAGAATAGCGCAGCTGCCGTTGATTGTTCTATCGCCAACGCTTCTATGTTTCGCTTAGGTTATTCTGATCAGGCGCTACAATATTAAAGTACTCGCCTACACGATACCAGTTCAAGCGAACCCGCAAAGCTTTTACTTCAGAAAGACGAATTTCAATCCCATGTGGAAAATACTCGACATGTTTCCTAGTCAAGAGGTGAGTATCATTCCAGTGCGGGATGGCATCCATTGACGATCACTCACCAATACTGGGCCTCCAGCTCAAGTCCTGTGCGATTGAGTTCAAGAATGAAGGCACGAAAAGTAACGTACGTTTATGGTTCCAGTGCCACGCCGTCGTACACTCTTGGAATAGAAGGTAACCATCTACTGGCTCTATCCATGTGATCATGCGATCTTCCGGGACGACATAATAATACGGGTAGATTTCCGTTCCTCTCACGGAGATCGGTTCAACGACAAGCAACCATTGTTTCCCGTCGAGTTTATTCCTTGATGCGTTGATCCAAGATTCCAACCGCTGGAGCTGATGATTTGAGCAAGCGCTCATGTTCATTGCTGCGTATGTTTTCTTTGTTCTTATAAAGTGGGTATGTAACGTGAAACACCAGCCGGCACTCACCATTTTTGCATTGTAGTGATACGTTGCTCCAGACGGGTGGATAAATTCGTTCCAATCCCCTTGAACACCGAGCCTATCGATATCACGGTTAAATTGGCCAAGTTCCAAACAACTGCCACAAACCGAACAGGGTCGATCTGCATCTTCTCGACATTATAATCGTAATGTCGAGGCTCCCTATGTAACAAATGAAGTCAGTACGTACTCATGCTCATGTCTGTTTGAACGATGGGTACTTACAACAGTGGTATTTCGGTATACCGCCGAAGTTGTGTCGGCCATATGGGGACGCTGCATTTCAGCAGCTCTATCTGCTGATCGAGACTCTGACCTTGGGACTTGCATGAGAGCTTGAGTATGCAGCTTTAACGCGACTTGCGATTGAACGTACCGCTGTGGTCATGGTGCGACAAGTCGAGTTGTCGATGCAGCGGTGTTCACACGATGATATGTGATATATACTAATACACCCGCTATGACGAACCCTGAACCTATTTATAGCAAACATACTTGTTCCTGCCAGCTGGATGATGATCAAGGATGATTGACAGATATGGTAGCTAGGTATTATACAGGTGTAGGACAACCGGGTATTGTCATTAATAGTGGAGTTGTGAATTGTATGTACTTTGGAGTTTCTGCATATGCATAGATACTGAGGGTTTTGTAACGCTATGACACAGCTGTTCTTCTAGCAATGTGTCCGTCTGAGATGAGTTGATGATACATGGTGTGATACAAAATTGCTGCATATGCATCGATGCTAAGGATTTTGTAACCCTATGACACAGCTGTTCTTCTAGCAATGTGTCCGTCTGAGATGAGTTGATGATACATGGTGTGATTGCGGAGAAGGACGGAAGATGACATCGATAAAGCACTATAGCTACAGGTGTATTCGTAAGAAATTATCGTAACGCTAAACGAGAACACTCACCCGAAGTACAGATTGAACTTTGTTCGCGATGTTTCGCGCGACGACGCGGAGCTTAAGGTAATCGTAAGAAATTATCGTAACGCTAAACGAAAACACTCACCCGAAGTACAGATTGAACTTTGTTCGCGATGTTTCGCGCGACGACGCGGAGCTTAAGCTTGATCGCAACCCGACGAGGTGTTCTAGCGACCGATTGGTCGGGTCGCTGAACAACTCGGGTAAGCCACCGGCAACAGTCTACTGACGATCTTACTGCATTCAGCCAAAAGTCTACTTGAGTCTGCAAAAATGTTATCTACGCGACACCGATTATGATATTACTTACTAAAACTTTGTCGCCTTTCATCGCCAACGGTCCCCTGCTAGCCGTGTGTGTTACTCGAGACATCTAATGTTATGTCGATACGGGATTGACTAGATTTCTGACAGAAAGGGGCTTACCGTAATGATTCCGCGGCTATCGAATTGTGACTATCGATATTGAGATCTGAGATTCGGTGTTGCAAACAAAGACAAACAGGCAACTGGTTGTCTTGCGTCAGGGGTTCAAGGTAATGATTATGTAATCTGTGTTTGCTCAATAAGTTAATAAGGCCGTATCTGTAATGTACATACCGTAGGTCGGACAAAATCTACCAGGGCGCAGGGCTTCCTATGAACATTGTTGGGATGTACAGACCCTCTCTTTCAGATGGTCAACACCAACATAATCATGATAAGCAGTGAATATGACACTTACTTGAGGAAGGCAACATGTGAAACAATGAAATTTCGGGAGCAGCAAGTAGGATTTCCATGGTCGGAAGGCCGAGTTGCTAGATTAAAAGTGAGCGCAATCCTCCAGGTTGTGTTGACATGGTGCACCGGCAACCCAACAAGTTGCACACAGCAGCCCAGGCGAAAAAACCTTCTTGAATGAAAGCAGCTGCTGGTTCATGTACTGTCTCTGGTCGACGGCCAAACTGGACATGATGTCCTGGAGACGATTGCTGCGGTTAGAAGACTCGCTCTTGGAATTTGGGTGAAGAGGTTGTATAGGTGGCTGAGGAGGCACCGGTAGACGCATGGGAGGCGCAGCATGCTGGGGGCGCGTAGGAAACTGAAGGAGCCCAAGCTGCAGAGGGGGCGCTGGCAGTAGGGGTCGAGGGGGTGCAGCCAGCCGAAGTTGATGGAGTACAGAAGGTGCAGGCTCTGGTGCTGGAAGCATAGCCAGAGATGGGTCATAGATACTCTGCGGAGTAGTGGTCAGAAGATCTAAAATGTTATGAGAGCATTAATAATACCTTGGCTACCATCATCTGACAGATATCACAAAGTTGCACCGTCACCATTTCAAGGCAGCTAGAAGTCCTGCCATCAAAGAACAGCGACAAACCTATTCTCCTACACGCTGGTACGGACAACCATGAAGCCATCTCCGACACCCCGGTATCATCTTGACCTGCCTGTAAAGTAAAAGGCTTCTGCTTTGGGTCATGAAATACAAACGACCATCCTGGTTTGCCATCCCGGCATCCGCGACCAAATCCTTGCCCGTAATCCAGCATGTTGCTTGGCTTGCGCAGGTGGACAACTGCTTGTATGTCCCGGATATCTAAGCCCGCAGAGAGTGCCGACGTAGTGTAGAGCACGCGGAGCGCGCCAGCACCAACTTTGAAGCCGTCCAGGGTTTCTTTTTTTCCTCGTCGGGCAACTCTGAATGGTAAAATTTAGTGTTTGAGGCCTTGGCCATTGCCTCAGCAGTTGCCTTCGTTTGACAGAACACAAGTATTTTATCCGCTACCGGAAAATTCAGGCAAGCTGACCGGCCACAATGGTGAATGCATTGAATGAAATATCCTTCCTGGTAGTGTCACCGCGGATAATCTCAGTAGCACCGGAGAGCATCTGAAAATGTTGCAAGAATCGGGGGATGGTGGCGGGAGGCAGTGTTGCCGTAGATGCAACAATCTGCAAGGGGAGTTGGCGCAGGCGGGGCATAAGCAGCAGACATGGTTTATAGTGCTTGGAGGTTGAGGCATAATGTGATTCATCTATGACGATGCGGGAGAGAGCGCCCTTCTGAACACCTTCTCGGAGATAATCGAAAAACGATGAACATTCTAGCTGCTCCACAGAAACAAAGATGGTCCCGGCGTCATAAGTCTTTATTCCAGGGCTCCAGGTCAAGATGAGCAGGCCTTTGTCCTCAAAGCGAGCGCGAAGCTCATCCGATAAGGCCTTGAGAGGAACGACCACAACTGATGCAAGGTTTTTCTCTGCAATGCTGATTCTTCGACTATTTCCGGCCAGCAGAAGGAGGCGAACGAAGTCGTGTGGCCCGGCGTGGGCAGTGGTGGAAAGCTGGAAACTGGTGAGAGGTAAAGAACGTAAGGCGTCTGAACCTGAGTTCAGTGATGTGGGATGAAAGAATAACCACTGACAGATTATTTTTTGGTTCATCGCGGTATAACCATCCAGCACGCCACTATGTACATGGGATGATTGTCAATACATTGAGGCGGAGTGAAGAGCGACAAACTCGGCCAGGCGAACCTACGCCCTGGCTCAAGTTCAGGATTCACCTGACGAAAACGCTTCGGACTGCTCCAAGTGCATCGGCACTCAATTCGAGTACGTCAATGAGAGCTTCACGTTCATCATGGGAGCCGCTTTGAGGATGCGCATCTGACAATGGACCTTGCTCTTGAGGAATGCTTTGTAGGTGCATTGAGACTCTGGACGCGTGCATTCAGATTTGTGCGGTAACGGTACTCGATGGTGGTGTAACTAGTCTTTAAGCGACTAATGACAACGGCGCTTGCGATCTGAGTGCTATGTGCGAATGATCCAGAGCCGAACGTAAGAGTAGTTGGACTAGCGAAAGGAGAGGAAGGCGTCTAAGACCAGAAGTAAGCCTGGCAGCCCCGCGTTTTTCTTTTGGTGCTTTAACTTGCCTGCATAATAGCTCCAGAGAATGGGTCTGTGATATTCCGTGAATAAACAGCTAGCCATACAAATATACACTACGCATACCTGAGGCGGAGCTAATCAGCATCATGACCGAAGAAACGGACTCAACGGATGAGATGCTCATCCTGAGTGATTTCTCATCTGCGGAACTGGAAGAAACTGAGGCAGAGATAAGAGTGGGTAATGAGAAGGTGAACGAAAAAGAGAAAAGTAAACTCTGGTGCTGAAAAAATGATTCAGGCTTTTCTTCTTCGTCATCGCAACGGTTGTGCAACGTCTCCGCCGCGGTAGACACCTTTGAAGGAGAAGCATAGCGTTTGACTTCTCGTACTAAAACAATCGACGCTAAGATCGCCTCGGGATGTTTAGCGATCATCGACTCCATTTTCTCAAAAACGTGATCCCATTCCTCTGTCAACGCGGTTACTGCTATGTAGGGAATGTGCACGACCTCGGTAGGTCCCCGCGTAGCCGTCAACGATACAATTAAATCAGGCGTGAACGATTTGTCCCCGATCTGGAGGGGGTAATTCATGTGAATTTGCGGTCAAATAGTCATGCGACGGTAAGGAAGACTGTGGATCGCGAGGGTGAGGGATTGCTTCAAGTCATCATAAAACGCTTCATGCAGGATGGTGGGCATGTCTACAGTGAGGAGTTATAGTCGTAAGTCAGCCTTGAGCGCCCGATTTAGCATATCCGAAATAGACTCAACCTGGGCTTCGTTAACACGCGGCCGGTTTCTCCCACCTCGTGTTCTAATATTTCGAATTCTTGCGCTCTCGCACCAGGAAATTCCTGTAATAATAGTAAGGATATCATATTTTTGACTCATGAACTGACAAAGGGCATACCATGTGGCGTTTTTTGCTGGATTGGGTTGTTGGGACTGGCGCATCACCTGGCCGAGGAGGAATTTCTCAGACGTCGAATCCGATACCGTCGTCAGGCCCTTGACACGAAATTGGAAGCCAATGTTGAACGTGTTCCTATAGGGCGGGGCGCTTCAGTAAGATCGCATGTCAAGTATGCACACGCAGAGAGCGACAGGACGTGAAGACGTACCAGTTCTGGCCCATGTCTGTGGAGCATCACAGCCAACTCTGCCCAGCCACCCACAAGGACATGAGGCGCGAGATATTTTTGAATCAAGAATCATATTCATGGCCTGTATGGACGACAGACACTATTAAGTAGGGTGCGGTATTGATGCGGCAGGGTACGGTACGATGCGGCAAAATCCGAAGGCCCCTCAATCAGTGCATCATGTGATTTTTGGACTCCGAAGTTGCTCGCCGCTCTGCACGACTTCAAGCTATCTTTGCATTGAAGGCACGATTTGTGTTGCTTCCGAAATTCGAATATATCTTTAAACGGTGTGTATGTCTTTTCTGTCTCGTTTAGTGTGCATCTGTTCATTTTAGGGCTTCATGCCCGATCTTAGGTGCCTTCCTGTTGGTGCGCATGCAGCCTTCAAGTTAGCTTTATGACATTGCTTCATCCTGCTGCGGTGACCGGCTATTCTATCATCGTATGTTCTCTAATCTCCATGCAGAACATTCATACATCGCCCCATTCTAAATAGAAACTCCTCAAGTTCGCCTTGTAACTCTCTTCGTCAGCCAGGCTTTCACCACCAATTATAAGTTGGTCTCGTCCGCGACCGTAATGCGTCACTGCGCCTTGACGTCGTACGATGCAGAACATACGCCAAAATCGAAGTTGTCGATCGAGTTAACTCGGTACTGCCAAGGGCATTCACGTGTTCGAGCATTAACCATTGAACGCACAGGGACCTTCTCATAGGTTGGTCTGTTCAGTTCACCTCGCTCACTCAGTTTACTGCCTACCACAATTTCTTATTGATTAATAAGACCACGTGTGGATGAAGCCCCCTCAATCCCTTTACCTCAGTCTGGCGCCCTTCCAAGCCACACGGGGCAACTGAGCCCGCCACTCAGTCCCGATCCCGATCTTTCATCTGGACTCGAAATTTATTTAGTATACTACGCAGACGGCATCGATAGGACATCCGGTTGCAAGAGGTCAAGGTCCCTTGCACAGCGGGCAAGCCTGTGCGTTTTTTTCTCTTTCATAGTTCTTCTTTATCGCTGACTCCTCGCACAGAGGAACTACCACGCAACAAAGAAGAAGCCAGCTACCAGCTCATCTCGACCTCCCAATACTCATACCACGCAACAACCCAGCGGCACTCATTATACCACTCAAATATTGTTCACCACCGCTGTAGTCTGATGCAACTCGTCGTCCTGCTGCTGGGCGCCGCAGACCACCAATATTTGCCATTCCTATGGTGCAGAGACCTCTGCCTACGATAGATCTGCGACAACCCACTTTCGTTCGCCTCAGCCAACCTCTTCGCTTCTCTCCTCACACGAACCCAGTGCACCATGATCAATTTCGCGATCCCTTAGATGTATGTATGCCTCTTTCTCTTGTTTATTTCGCATTTGATGCGACACTCGCGTTGCAGTTCTCTGCTACCTTGCCCCTGCCCCGTCCTCTCTCTGGGCACACCTCAACCCTGGCGAGAACGCGAGTTTTCATTAAACTGTTATCACACTTTTGACTAATGTCTTTCAGTCTTGATCACCGCCAACCATTCGATCGTCCGCCACCCCACCCGCCACATTCGCAGCACGCATAACCCACCTATCATCCTGGTGGCCTGTTCGTGGAGGTCACGCGGAGCCCCGCATCGTTGACGTTCCTCTCGCGTAGGCTAAAGAGGCATGTTCCGTTCATTTTCTCATTTTATCCGACGTGTAATGTATGAATTTACAGCGCAACGCTGTTGCGGGTGAAGACGACGATGTAGTACCCGATGAATATCTCGATCCTCTCTCACCGAACCCTGATTCGCAACGACCAGCTACTACAATACAGCCTGTCACAGGAGAGCATGGGGACGACCGGTCATGTTTCTGCTTCTAGCGCTGTGATGTTCATTTCGTATAATTTAGTATTATTCGCTTGGATTCAGCATTCTATGGACGTGGGTCCGAAACACATCCGACGTCATATCCTCAGCTATGTATTGTTTGCCATTCTGTACGAAGATGCGCTAGATTAAGTAGCGTCTATCCAGCGATCATTTTTCTGTACGACGCCTTCAGTCCCTCGCGGCCCCTCGCACGTCCAGCTCAACGCAACCCAAAGTACTCGTCGTGCCAAAGATTCACACTCTACACCTGACGTGAAATCACAAATTTAAAGACTATGCTTCATGGGTCTTCAGTCAACTTCGCAAAGATGACTTGTCTCTAGGTCCCGGATACTACCTCGTCTCCCTCACATTCAAATACATCCCCCCCGAACTCACCTCCACAGGCAAAGGTGACTCCTTCATCTTCTACTGCGATTACATCACGACTATCTGGCATGCAGAATCGTTTCTTCTCAGCATTCGTGGCGGCAAGCCCAAAGCGGGAGAGATTTTGCAGCCGGATATCATGAGTATTGGAGTAGCTGCGACCGAATAAGCGACCGAGAAACGTGCTGCCTGACGGTGCCAAGGAGCGAGGACGACGTCGTGCAGAAGACTAAGAACGCGGAGGTTAAGAACGCAAAATCGAAATGATAGTGACAACATACATGTGAATGATCTGCAACGAAAAAAACCTTGGGGGATCATTATTTGGTTAGGTTAGCTATTGCTTCGAAGTATATCAGCAAGACCATTCTCATGGCAAGGATTGCATTGGCAGCTGACCTTGACGCCCATGATGCACTCGGAGTTGGATTTGGCTCTCGCATACCACGTCTCCTTGTCGTTAGGACAACAGTTCAGGCGCCCGAGGGAGGTAAAGTCGAGATAGATGGTAGCGTTGCGGCCCTGATTGGGTTGTTGGGACTGGCGCATCACGACCTGGCTGCATTCTCGGCTCTCTTCTCTCCCAGCCGAACCACTTCGACAAAAGCAGACATCGGTGCTTTGAGCACAGCAGTACCGATGATATCCTCTAGGCACTCGAGTAGTCCGTCGTGGTGCTCAGAAGTGCCTTCAGGCTTCATCTGCGCGATAGACTTGACTTCACCCTGCAGGATAATGAGACACTTGTGCGTGAGGTCGATTCCACGCCCCTGGAGAACCGTCTGGACCTCGGTGTACGAAACCGGTCGTGAGTTAAGGGTGTGCCGAGAGGTATTGAATTTGGTCGCTGTGCATGCGACAATGAGCGAGGAGTTAGGGACGGCACTGTGTGTGTCGGCTCCAGGCTGGGGGTCCGAATAGATTAGCTCAGTTCGATTAGATGAGTGAAGGTACATACGAGGTCTATAATCTCGCGGAAATGAACTTCCATGCTGCACACATCCGATTCGGGATGTTAGTTGGACGCGAACACAGATGATGCCAAATACCTGATATCTGCGAGGGAGGATGCAGACCGCACATATAAGATAGTGCAAGGAAGCGGATACCAAGCTAACCGATCGACTACTCCTCGAAACTGCAATGAAAATGAGCGGCGCTGTTCGAAAAGCCGCGTCCACATTCAACCGTGCTCTAGGACTCTCCCTATCACAGATGTCTATGCGCACGTGTATTCTTCAGCGTAGAGGGAGCGTTAATTGGAGAGAGAGAGAAAATAAATTTTGCACTGGAGAAGCTTTGCCGGAGATGCGGTAACTTCTCGACCACTTCGCTGTGCATATGTTAGTCAAATAAGATGCGGAAATCAGGAGGGAAAAAATAAACCAGACAAAGGGAGAGTTGTCCAGCGCAGAGGGGTTGTTCGAGTCCCCGAGGAATTCCATGAGTGCATGGACGACGCTTGCAGCCACCTCAGAAAACTTAACCGCTAATACGTGGATCGACTGGATGAGAAGTTGCCTGGACTCCAGGGCCTATCCCAAAATCAGTCCTGGACCACAGCAACGTGGAGGACTGCGAGACCAACCACGATGCGGCTATTGAGGACTAAGATGAGCAAACATGTGCACGCGACCTTATCGTGAACGTACCTTTCACAGCAGCCGGGTTCTGCGTGAGTGCGGTGAGTGTGGTAGCAGCGTCATGCTTTGATGCGTGCGACGATGAGTTCAACAACTCAAACGCGCATCTGATGTATCACGACTGCAAGACGACAAAAGGGAGGAGAAGCAAGATGACTCAAAGTGAAGAGGGCTCACTCGATGGGTCGTATCATTCTTACAATACAGCCTGGTAACTTCTATGATGCTCATATGCAAGAGCTCGTCTATCGGACTTGTCAGCTGATCGTACACCCACTCGACAGCCTTCGGTATCGCAGAGCGAGCGAGAAACACGAATGCGTTACGCTTGCACGTCGCGTCAGACTCTGCAGCGATGAAAGTTTGCATAAGCTCAGGAGCATCTGGGATGAGGTATTCGTATTCGTGGTAGATAATGTACACGGCGAATACGGCGTTCTTGCGAACGGATGAGCGACGGTGCTCAAGACAGCTGCCGCAGCAGGGAGTTCAGCACCTTTAGATATCTTCTAGAAGGAAACGTAGGGTGGCGCCGCGGATATACTCGTTGGGTGTTGCTGTAGAAAGATGAAGAAAACAGTAAGTCAGGAATGCGGGGATTAGTCTTACCAGGTCATTTAAGATAGCTATGGCGTTTCTAGGCAACTTGACAATTGGTTGAAGGCGAGCATGTGCGCGCTAGGAGATAAGATAAACACACGTACACAACGAGAATCATTCTCTCCTGCTTGAGTTTCTCGAAATCTTCTGCATCGACTCTTGCTTGTTGCTTTCGCGAAATTGCGTGTCAAACCTTACTCCGGGCGTCCTGACCTCGGACGGCTTGCCAAAGAGAGGCCGACCTCGACCTGGCAAGCCCAGCAGTACTAGCAGCCGCGTTGTCACCGGTAATGGTACGGAGCGTGCGGCAGACCCGCTGCAGCAACGCAAACGTGTTCAAATTTGCACCGCGCCCGCCTGGGGAGTCAGGGCATCGTGGGCGAGTGGGCATATTTTGCGAATGGCACGTACGCACGCCGAGCCATGAAACAAAAAGGTCAGTCAGGCATCTTGTCTTCGTTGATTTGTCACGTCAATAAACTTTCTAGATGACTTCAGCTGGTCAGTGGACGCTCTATGGTGATATCTTACCTATCATCATCCCAAATTCGCAGGCGGTGACTCGCGGCAGTACACATTGCACCTGCTCAGTCTCGCTAGTGGCTTCTCCTCTCCGAGACTTCGACCGAATAATTGTTTGCATTGCCAAACATCCCTTTGCCTCTGTCGACTCCGGAGCGGCTTGTGCGGTTTGCACAGATTGTGGACACAGCGCTCGTCAAGTCTTAGTATCTTGCGACTCAACCGGCCCTCCTCGGTGCACTTTGTCAATTGGCCAATTGGAGTGAGGTATCAGAGGAGCTTCGGGCACGAGAGGTGCGTCAAACTGTACACAACTCAAACGTAGCATTTACCAGTTGTCTCAGACATTCGCAGAGCTGATACATCTCTACAATGGAAAGCAGATGCATGCTAAGGCTCATAATCAGTGAGCATTGATGTCTTTTACTTGATCACGCCTGCAAACCAATGACCTTGCCCAGGGTCGAACGAGAAGGAAGCGGACATGAGAGAAAATGCTCGATCTGTCATATCCTACCTGCCTTACCTGCCAAAACTTGGTCCCAAGTACGTCGACGCCGAGTATTTGAGTCTTCCCGCTGGATCTTGGAAACGACTGTGATACGGCTTTCGAGGTGACACTTGTGTGTATAATTTGTCTAGTTCCTTGCTGACGATCGTTTGTCTCACCCAAGATATCTACATCTGACGACATTAAACTCCCTCGAACTCAAGTAACAGATTACCTCGAGAAGATTGACCCCACCATGTCTACTTGTTATATCGAGTATCTAATCGATGAGAAAGGCGGAGAGAGTCCCGTATTCCATGATCGGCTGGCAGATCTCTATCTGAACATGACGCTGAGTGCTCGCAAACGAGGAGACAAAGGTTAATCGTGATTTTTGCCGGTTCTCACCAAATTTCCGTTAGTCAATGGGTCGGACGTTCACTCGAAGCCCCTTCGTTTCATCGATCGCTTGCATGGTTTACTGTTGAAGAGCCAGTTCCAGACTGATACTCCCATGAATATTGAGCTTATACCCTGCAGATCTTTACCAAGCGCGAGCTGTGTTGTCGGGCCGTGTGGTAAGGCATGACCATGCTCTTTAGCTCCATGTTTACAAGTTAGGCCGAAGAGTATGTCTATTCTCTGCTATATTCTCGATCCCGATCCCTCGGTGACGCTGTCATAGGTACTGCAGGCGGATGTATAATTCAAAATAAGTCACACTCTTCTCAAGCTCTACCTCCGCCCCACCGATGAAACAGCACCGAACTCGTTGCGCCCCGCTCTAGACTTGTTCAGTCGACACTGTCCTCGCTTAGACTCCCTTGAAATTCTTCAACTTCTCCCTCCCCTTGTCACCGCTCTTGACGTACGCCCATTCCTTCAAGAAGCTTTATTATGAGCACAGATTTTCGACAGCCACATCATCCATGATATTCACAAAGCGCGGAATGAACAAGTCAGTCTTCTTTCCGCATGGATGTTGTCTGATGACTTGTGCAAAGCTGTTCCAAGTGTTTGGGTAGTAGTGTTGTCGCAGTTCATGCTCCTAGGTAAATCTGTTGTTCACCTCTAGTGTCATTTTCTGATGTCCCCATTTTTCAGGGGAGAGGTGACTCGTTATCAGTGCCATGACGCTTTTTCTCGGAGGCTCATTGATCCTGCGAAGAGATTACGGTTATGATTGGTTGCGCTACGCAGCATCTTGGTTCGTCAGCTTTTATCGTCGCTGAGGGCTTGGTAGTGGTCAGGCCCCACTCGTAGTCAACTGCTGTGTACATCTAAATGTATGTCTTGTCACTGGTATGGGTACCAGTGATACCCAACCCTATGTTGCTCAGTTTGAAACCACATGAATTGTGCACATCTTCGAGCCGAATTTGGGAGGTGCTGATGATCAGCTCGGAAAGCTCGTAGTATCGCCTCTTTATTATACTACGGAATATGGAGGAGAGATGGAACATGAACAGGGCATATTTCATTCACGGTATCGTGTTATGAAATAATCCTCAAATCCGCCATTCGTGAGGGTTAGCAAACTGAACGCCCTGAAGGGTACCATTGGAAATGACACGACTCAGTGAATAAAACGACCTTGATAGCCAAAATAGGGCGCAAATTAAGGCTTTCTGGCTTGTGTTCCATCTCCCCTCAAAGTTTGAGTGTGAGTACTAGTATCGCGGCGTCTTCCGCATCATAAAGCACGATCGCGAAGTATTCTTTCCTCTATAAGGTCTTAGATGACGATGTGATCCCCCTACTGACGAACGCCCGCATCGAGGGCTTTGACTGGCAAAACAATAATGCGCAACACCAAGTATGAGATTGATCAGGTATGAGGCTCTGGGTCTAGTGATGAGGCTCGGGTTGACTCCGTGACCCAGCACCGGACTCGTGTGCGCAAGTCGACCCTCTTCTGTCGTTTTTCGAGGTGAAAGACTGCGTCATCGGTAAGAGCAGCTCCGCGTAAACTGGAAGACAATTTGCGTTTGCGAGCGCCCGGTGGTGGAGGCTTATCTCCTGCTTGATTACTGGGTAGATCAGACTTCGGCATACCATCGTGCGCAGAGCGTGCTTGCGACCGTGTGGTACGTTTGCTCCCTCGAGAAAGATTCTCTATGTCCTCGTCATCGCGGTCCCTCTTCCTCTTACCCCTCGTTTCTACCTCCCAGACCTTCGCATCTTTCTTCGCATCCTCGAAAAGGGCCCATGTATTACACAAAAGTGTAAGTCGTTCTTCAAGTTCCTTCCGAAACTCACTCGTCTGTTGCGAACAATACTCGCGGACGATCTGATTGATGTGATCCCTTGTGCACTTGGGGCCTGCGTTTATGATGGCAAAGGGAGGTGCAATATGACACTCAAGCAATGGGAGGCCTTGGTAAGGATAAGAGTGATCTTCCCAAACTCCACCACCAATTTCGCATGAGATGCGTGGGCATCCTGTGCCAGGCAATAGTATGAACGTGTACGGTGTTTTATTGTTGAGATTCCACTGCGAAAAAGTAAATATTGTTGCAGGCATGCGATACCATGGAACAAGTGCCTACCTCTAACCAGAAATGTTTCGTGCCTTTACTAGACTGGGAGTTTGCCCTTAATGCAACAGCGTCTTTCACGTAGTCATGGACTTTCCTTAGTGTGCCTGTATCCGGCAGGAGAAACCAGTGACCAGCATCAAATATACTATGCAAGTGGGGTGACACTGCAGATTGATGTCAGCGTCAACAACGCACGCAAGAAATGTGTCATACGATAGAACATATTTCGTCTGCTGTCAACATGGAATGATCTCAAATCTAAGCCAAGACAATATTCATAGAGTGTCAACTGAGGAAATTATTAACATTGAACATTTCATAGGTAATGAAATTACCCACAAGATCAGACTTGCTCGCACGTTGAACGGCATGGGCTACAGTCACCAGGTAGGCCGCTGACGACGTTACGAGACAGTGACGGGCGCCATAGTTGTGGTCATATAACTTCTGGAGTGCCTTACGAGTTTTTGAAGAGAGGCCTGCAGAAGCTGAGCGATGCGTAGGGGTGGTGAAGATGATAGACGCGGATTCCCGGGTAGACACACGAGTGGGGGTATATTCGTCGTGGCTACTTTCTTGGAGACCTGGGCTTGGAGTTGAGCGATCATTAATCTCATATGTAGAGGAATTGGCATAGGATGATTCTGGGTCCCGACCACTGGCTAGGGAGTATGTGCCGATAGACATCCTTAGTTTGATTGAGCATGTATGCACGTGGGAACTTTTACTTTGGGGCTGACAGTGATATGCTCGTAATGCAAGATAACGAAGATTTTCGACCAAGGGTTAGCAATGATGAGAGATCTTTTCGTCGAGTTCCAGAAACAACGCGATCCTGCCGTTAATCACTCCTTTCAGAGAGAGTCCTGGGCGTTATCGTGGATCAGGCTTTGATGATCGATGTGAGTGTGCTCTTTTCTCCGGACGGTTTAATTTCAATTGCGCGTAGGGATTCAAGTAGAGCTTGAAGACACCTAACCTACGGACGGCGAACTTTTCGAGTCACCGTACCCTGTGTTTTCCGGTGTAGCACCTGGTAGCGTTGGCCCATAGGAGTTGCATGCTTTTCCCTTTTCGACCCCTTCAAACTACCGCGCTCAGGCGAGTACATACACCCTCTCAAGGTACAACCAAACGCCTTACCTGAAGTGGTTAGTCTGTCAGAACTCCTTTGATTCTTTGGAGATGCGTTCGCAGCTTTCCACCAACCTCAAGAGTGCAAGTTCGATACCCCCTGCAGGATGCATCACCGTTTCAAGCGCCAGGAAGTCCCTTTTCTCAGGAGTTATCAATGAAAGGTCGTAGATCTGTACGTGCCCATCTCCTTCTTTGATATCTACTCACCTCTATCCAGAGACGCCATCGACACCCTCCTGACCCGCCAAATGACCGGCGGTTCCTTGACCTGGCGTGCATTTCCGCAATTCTAGAACCAGCCACCTCCACAGGACCCCCTCAAGAGAATATTGGATGTAGGCTGCGAGAGCAGTGTATGGGTATTAATTGAGGCTGCCAAGCACTGGAAAGGCTGCGAAGTCGTCGGTGGTCGGTCCTGCCCTTGCCACTTGCGAGAAGCACTTGCAGGCTTCGATATCTTATCTCTCCTCACCGACCTTGCACGTCTCCTCCAGAAACATGGACCTTATGAGAAAAGTAAGCTGGGTTTCGAGGCAATTAATGTATTCACCCATCCATTCTGTATCCTCATCATTGACTCCCATAGCCTCGAGGGTCTTCCATTCGCGAACGAATCGTTCGATTTCGTACACATCAAGCGTATCGCTCGAGGCGTACCGGAAGACCATGCGCAAACTTCAACTACCCCTCCAACGACCAGTACGACTCCAACAATGACCTCCATGACATCTGTCGCAACTACAGTACCCATCACCATCATGTTTGTCCCTTCCAAAAGCACCGTGCTTCTGCACTCTCCTTGGGATCGCATCCGCATGCGTGTAGGACCTACTACTTCCCCTTGTTGCAGTCCTCCAGTCGTCGAGGTTCCTGCATTAGATGACAACAAGGTATGTCTTTTTGGGGATGTTTTCTCAATTGCGATGTCTCAAGTTCTATCTACACTAACCAGAGGAACGACTCCCGAGTCCTTTGTGGAACCGCTTTGTGGGACTTAGGCTGCGCGTCCTGCTGCTCGTGGAGGAACCGGATGACGTCGTCTTTAGCACCTGTAGAACACGCTCACGATCCAGCTGTTCTTCAACGCGCTTCATGTTCTGACCGTGCTTGGGCAACCAAGGGTGCTGGTTTTCGAGGAGGAAGCGGTGGTATTTTACCATCCTTTGGCCTTTCGGGCGATTTCTGAGGAGGGTCTGTCCCATTTGCTTTGTCGCGCATCAAGAACGGATTATGGTTGATCTTCTGTGGTAGACGGGAGGGTATAACGGGAGGGGAGTCAGATTGACCCGGAACAAAGTGCTGCGTATCAGACTCGAGTGATTGACGAAAGGGATTTATGTCTGGAGAGGAAGAGTTTGAAGATATGGCATGTTGTTTGGGTCGGTCTGGATGAAGAGGCGGAGCGTGGACTTGACGCTTGGAGGGAGATCTTGATCTTGAGCGTTCAAGAACTTCTGGGATTGGGTGGGCTGTAAGACATTCTGGTCAGTACTGGCTGAAGGGTGAGGAGGTAATGCATACCTTGGACAAACGCGAGAGTTCTATCAACGCGTTTACCTGACACAGCGCGAAGGACAAGCCTGAGCGCAGCAAAAAACTGGCCACCGGTGAGACAATTGATCTGTGTGGAGCAAATTTGGACAGAAGATCTGGGCGGAACGCATACGGTTAGGACATGAAGAAGGCGTAGAAATGGCCGAACCTTCAAGTGTCAATATCTGTAGTTGGTAGATCATGAGGATATCTGCCTCGTAGCCATGCTCTGACTTCGCGGACGCCAACGGACATGGCTTCAAAGTGGGCGTCATCTTGGACAGTGCTCGGGTCGGGTGAAACTGCAAGATCATTGAGAGATGAAGTAAATAAGTTGTATCCGAGATCGTTGAGAGCAGACGCATGAAGAATCAAAGGTCACGTTGCAAGCAGAAAGTTCAAGTCAGTGCATGAGTAAAATGCCATCCGCCGCGCTAAAAGGCATGCAGAACTTCCACCACCATACACTCCTACACCAGCACCCCCCATCTGGGAACCTCACTTTATAGATCTAGGGAGCAACCCAAGTCCCGCTTCAGCACCAACAGTGACCGTTAGTGGCATCCCAGGTCCTCTCTCATTTTGCGCAGACATTCGGGCCTTCCACCAATGGCGTTGCGCGCCCGGGATGGGCCAGTATCAGGAACCGGGTCACAGTCATTAGCGGGAGCTGCATTGATTGGGGGCGTTATGGTGCTCTACTGATTGGTTTTTAACACCAAGACGCTCTTACATTCCCGGCGGCCAATATCATTATTTATAATTATTGCAGGCAATTGACCTGATGGACATCTCACAAATACATTTTATCAGGATATCACTTATCTTACCTAGCGGGTGTTGCAGTGATCGATGATTGAATCTGCGTAGTCATCAATGTGCAACAGCTGCGTTGGAACTAGAAGCGAATCTTATCATATGCTCTACGATAACTGGTATCGCACAACAAAATGTATGTATTACGTTGCCCAAAATGATCTGATGTCGCGAGTCGCACGTTATCTCAACAAGTTCGTTGGGACCAAATTTTATCATACACATATGTTAGTACAAGGCCAGTCATCCACGGCAAAAAAAGAGACATGAAGATCATACAGCGAATTTCTGGATAGGAAGCAAAGTCAACTGTTGGCAAGGATAACATCCACCTGAACGCACCTAGAGGTCCGGAGGATCAGGTCGTCAAGATACCATCTCGGCTCCGCTTCCAAATTGGTGAACTTGAGGGCAAACGCTTTCTCGTTCTCATGCACCACTCTCCCTGGAGCGTCAAAGTTGCAGTAGAACGACATGACTATGATGGGTTTGCCCTCCCTGCGGCCATACACGGGTCTCAGTCGACTCGACTCCCCGAAGATCTTGCGGATGACGCTGATGATGAAGATGCGATTCCAAGCATAATTGATCCCCTCGCTGTGAGTGTAATCCTGAGAGAGTTCAGGGCTGTTCTTTCACGAAGGCTTCGAGCTTCCCGAAGTCGATGGGATAGCCGAACCAGAACAAGAGCGGTCTGGGTTACGGCGAACGGGGAGGATAGGACGCGTCCGGGAGCGGCGCGTCAAGCGAGTCAGAGCCATGCACCTGGCGCACATCCTATGGGATATATCTCACCTTTCTACAGGCGTCTTGCGTAGCGCAACCAATCATAACCGTAATCTCTTCGCAGGATCAATGAGCCTCCGAGAAAAAGCGTCATGGCACTGATAACGAGTCACCTCTCCCCTGAAAAATGGGGACATCAGAAAATGACACTAGAGGTGAACAACAGATTTACCTAGGAGCATGAACTGCGACAACACTACTACCCAAACACTTGGAACAGCTTTGCACAAGTCATCAGACAACATCCATGCGGAAAGAAGACTGACTTGTTCATTCCGCGCTTTGTGAATATCATGGATGATGTGGCTGTCGAAAATCTGTGCTCATAATAAAGCTTCTTGAAG